TTTTGATTTGGAATCTCCTGGCATGATTCTTTTATGACTTTTTGTGGGGGAGGCTTTTTTGGTTGTGTTTTTTGGTTTATTGAGACAAGGTCTCACTCTGTAGTTCAGGCTGGCCTTAACTCTTGGCAATCCTGCCTCAGCCTCCCAAGTGCTCGGATTACAGGTGTTTATCACTATGCCCAGCTAGTCTCCACTGGAGACTTGTAAGGACTTTTTCTTGCACCACTCTCTGGATCAATAATCAACAGAATTCTGTAAAGGGTCAGACAGCAGCTGTTTAGGGCTTTGTGCATCTCTCTGGCAACCAATCACCTCTCTACTGGGTGTGGCTGTGTTCCAATAAAACTTTATTTACAAAGTAGGAGCCGGGTATGGTGGTGCGCACCTGTCATCCCAGCACTTGGGAGGCTGAGGCAGGAGGATCACCACAAGCTCAAGCCAGCCTGGGCTACACAGTGACCTCAAGGCCAGCCTGAAGTACGTGGCAAAATCCTGTCTCAAAAAAACCACTAAAACAAAAAACCACAAACACAAAAACCAAATTAGGAGGGGTTTAACCTATGGACAGTTTGTGGAAGGAGGGGACAGATGCTTTAGATTCCTTTGAACAATAAAAAATGTAAGGGCTGGGGATTTAGCTCAGCAGCACAGCACCTGCCTGGCAAGCGCAAGTTTGTGAGCTCGATTCCCAGTACCAGAAAAAAAAACAAAAAACAAAAAAATAAAAATAAAAATAAAAAATGTATACTGATGTTCTTTACTTTTTCTTTCTTAAAGAGATTTAAATAAATCTCCTTCCAACCCAGGTTAGGAGTTATGCTTAGGAAGGCTGGAAAAAAGATGGGTCTATGGCTGTAGCTCAGTGGTAGAGCCTTTCCTTACCTAACACACAAAAGGCCCTGTGTTTGACACCTAGCACTAAAAAAAAAAAAAAAAAAAAAAAAAAAAAAAAAAAAAAAAAAAAAATATCGTATTTACTCAAAAATACAAATATTTCAAAAGTCAGGCGCAGCCTCGTGCCTGTAGTCCCAGCTAGTTAGGAAGCAGGAGGATCGCTTAAGCTCAGGAGTTTGAGACTAGCCTGGGCATCAGACTGAGCCCCATCTCAAAAAAACAGTCATAAAAGACTTGAGCACAGTCTAGCATAGTCCTTTTGTGTAGTGCAATGGGGCCTTCTGGGTTGAGAGTTGAGCCTTCCCATGTCTCCAGACATTAAAGCAATGTGTGTTTGTGCAAATCCACTGAGAAAGTGCTACTCTAGAAATGCAGATCATTCAAATTAACTACATCTTGGTCACTTGCCACTAAATCCTCTTCAAAAGTAACCATCATGACAAGTAGTCTTGTCACCCTGGCCTCTGGCATGAAATGGTAAGGTTGTAATAATGAGCTCAAGGTCCTTTCTGCTAACAGCACTAACTCCCCTCTCGGACCTGGGTGTGGTGGTGTACACATGTCAGCCCAGTACTCAGGAGGCTGAGGCAGGAAGATTGCTGGGAGTCAAGGCCAGCCTGGAATACACAGCGAGACCCTGACACAAAAAACAAAGACATTAAAAATAAACAATAAAAGTAGGGTGACAGCTCAGCAACTCTGCCTTCATTTTGCTACCTTAAACTTGGGGTCCAGGTCTTGCTCAAGTCTGCACATGGGTGTTAATAATTTCAGGAATGCTGATCTAAAGCTGCTAATCCCCTTCAAGGCCAGGCGTGGCTATCTGCAAGATAGACAGGGACACCACAATCCTCAGGCTGTCAACAGCCAGCGTTTTTACCACGTCCTGGTCCAGGCCACCAGTCTCCATGTGCTGGCCTAAAGCCCTAAGCAGCTCCATCTTGCCTTTTTCTGTTTTTCTGAGACAAGGTCTAGCACTATAATTCAGGCTGATCTTGAACTATCTAGCCCAGGCTGGCCTCGAGCTCATACCACTCAGCCTCAGCCTCCTGAGTGCTGGGATGCCCCATGCCCAGCCCATTTTGCCTTTCTGACCTGCCTGCCCCACTCTTGGACTCAAGAGCCACAGGTCTGGCCGGTAACTGTCCAGTGTTGTACAGAAATCCCCCAGGTAACAGTGCTCCCGTCTCCTGCCACCTCATCATGAGATAACAATCGAGCAGACCTCCGTGCTGTGTGACTGTCCTTGCTTGTCACCCTTTCCTGTATCATCTGGGAGCTCTTGCACAGATCCTCTGCTTCCAAGACAGCTCCGCTGAACACATCCTTTCCCTGCCTCCTTACATTTTCCGCTTGGTTTTGGGGTGCGTGGGCAGACCCGGTCTGTGTAGGCTCCTCACAGCCAGGCTCCCGCTGGGCAGGCACTCGGTGACAGTGCAGCCCAGAGATTACTTTCCTGCAGTGCTGGCCCAACTGCCAGGCGCTGCGCTTTGTTTTTCTCCGGAAATGCTGCTGTCAGCACAGAACCAGAAGCGCAGCCTCCCACAGAGGGAAGAAACCAGCACCAGGCCCAGCTTCACAAGGACTTCTTGTTCAAGAAAAACAAGAGAAACATTTAAAATTTAACACTCAGCAGGCATGGTGGCACACACCTGGAAGCCCAGCGCTCTGGGAGGCTGAGGCACGAGGATCTTGACTTTAATTCCCATCTGGGGGACTTAGCAAGAGCCTGTCTCAACATTTGATTGATGGATCGATTGATTGTAGTACTAGGAAGTGAAGCCAGTGCCTTTCCACCAAGCTATGTCCCCAGCCCTTTTATTTTTTTGGACAAGTTCTCCCTAATTTGCTAGTATGGTAGGTTCCCCAGGTTGGGCAAGAACTTGATACCCTTCTGCCTCAGCCTCACAGACAGATTATTATTATTATTATTATTTTTAATCTTTTTGAGACAGGGTCTTGCTGTGCAGTTCAGGCTGGCCTTGAGCTCACTTTGTAGCCCAGACTGGTCTCAAACTCGCAATGAGCCTCCTGCCTCAGCCTCCCAAGTGCTGGGATTACAGGAGTGCACCACCACGCCCGGCTTTTCCCAGACAGATTATTACAGGCCTGCATCACCACACCTGGCTCAAAATTTTACAAAATAACAGAAGCTCTGGGGATGCAGCTCAGCATAAAGGCTCTGGTTCAATTCCCAGTACCATCAAAAAAAAAAAAAGAAAAGATAATTGATGAAAAAAAAAAAAAAAGACAATTGATGGCTTGTGGAGAGAGAATGTGATCCTTCTTCAGCTTTGGCTCCATGCAAACAGCAATGACACCAATAAGATGACAACAGTCACTGATAGTGTCACTGCCTCAACTGCCTGTCAGAAAGGCATCCTTGTCACCTGGAACTTAGCCAGAAGCCCGAATACGGGCTCTGCTCGCTGAATTTGTTTACCTGCCTGCGAGCAAGAGTCCAAGAAAGCCAGGCGTGATGGCACATGCCTGTCATCCCAGCACTCAGGAGGCTGAGACAGGGGGATTGCTGTGAGTTTGAGGCCAGCCTGGGCTGCAGAGTGAGTTAAAGGTCAGCCTGAACTACAGTGAGACCCTGTCTCAAAAAACAAAACAAAACAAAAAATAAACAAGTCAGGCCTCTCTCTTGATGGCCTACACAAATCTACTGTGTTTGCACTATCTCCTGCTTTTTCTTTTTCTTTTTTCTTTTGAGACAGGGTCTTGCTATGCAGTTCAGGCTGGCCTTGAACTCACTACGTATCCCCAGTTGGCCTAGATCTCGCAGCAATCCTCCTGCCTCAGCCCCTCAAATGCTAGGATTACAGGTGTGTGCCAGAATGCCCAGCTCTCCTGCTTTTTCATTGACTTCAATCTTATGTTATTGTTCTGCATCATCTATCAGCTCTTGGGTTGATTTTTCATGGCCCTTTGGTTTTTTGGTTTTGCTTTGTTTTGTTTTGTTTTATTTTGGTACCAGGAATTGAACTCACAACCTCATGCTTGCCAGGCAGGCGCTATGCTGCTGAGCCATATCCCCAGCACCTTTGTTATTTTTAAGAAATCTTTCTTTTCATGATTGCTAACCACAATCCAGTGTTCTACATCTGAGTTTGTACTTTTAAAATTCTGCCTAGAGGCGGGTGTGGTGGCACATGCCTGTAATCCCAGCATGCAGGAGGCTGAGGCAGGAGGATTGCCATGAGTTGGGACCATGGCCAGACTGAGCCACATAGCAAGACCCTGCCTCAAAAAGTAAATAAATAAAATTCTGCCCAGTAAATCCCTTTATGCCTCTTTAAAAAACAAAAGTCAGACACAAAGGGCTACAGCTTGAGTGACTCACTCACAGGAAACATGCACAGCTAGCAGATGGGACGAGAGAAAGGGGCCAGTTGGCTGCCAGGCACAACAACAGCAATGGGCCAGAAGTGCCCCAGGGCTGCTGGCCCCACTAGCTGCATCCTGGCCTCACCCATCGGTCAGGTGTACAGGTCACCACCACGCTGTGAGATTTGCCTAGACTCGAGACCCCAGGTTTCGACCTTGACTCCCAACTTCTCCGGGTCTGCCTTTATGCTGGGCCTGAGGCAGGGGCCTTGCTGGCCACCCTGTCTCAGAGCTGCTTGCTGGAAAAAGACATGGTGAAAACCCGAGGGAATCTTGGCCTACACACAAAAGTGCAAGCGGATTCCCAGTAACAGAAGGACCTCTTCAATTTGTATTTATTATTACGATTATCATTTCACAGTCCTGGAAACTGAACCTTGGCTACGTAGTCAGTTCAATGGGCTACACAGTGCAGGAACTCCATGCTAAACTATATCCCCAGCCCTTTTTTCACTTTTTATTTTTGAGACAGGGTGTCCCTAAATTGCCCATGCTGGACTCGAATATGAGGTCCTCCTGCCTCAGCCTCCCAGTTGGCTGCAATTACAGGCATGCACCACCACACCTGGCTTTGAATACTCACTTCTGACCCAAAATGCCTCACAGTGCACGCTCTGCCACCCTTCCCACATGACACCAGGCAGGGCTGTGAGTGGGCCCCAGCATGTCTTTCCCCCTGACAGGCTGCACACAACACAAACACACTTTGTGCCCCATAGGTTGTTGCAGAACGTTTAATCAGCTATAGAAATCTGACTCCCAAGGCCGCCAGGGGTGGGGGGACAACCGGTCTGGTTCCCGGAAGTAAGCATCCGCAGTTTCACTGAGCCTCTACATCCGGTGCGGTAAACAGAATGACTCTGGGTGTGTGCCAACTTCTTTAGTCAATTCTTTCATCTTCACTATAATTTTAAAAAAAGGAATGTAAGTATTCATCTTCACAAAAACAAAAACAAGCATGCCACCCTCTGAGCTAGACTACTACAACTGCAACCGCTACAGCCCCAGGGACCCACTTACAGTACACCTGTGCTCACAGGCCTCAGCCTGGTACACTCTGTCTCCCTCAGTCTTAACTCTCAGCTTTTTGAGACAGGGTCTCACTATGTAGCCCAGGATGGCCTCAAACTCACGGCGACCCTCCTGCCTCAGTATCCCGAGTACAAGGATGACAGGCCACTGCCACCACACCTGACTCCCAATGGTAACTCCTGATGGTGTCAGGGCTGACTGTGTCGCACAAACAGAGCAGGCTCCTGAGGGACAAGTGTAGCCCCACCTGTCTCCACTGGGAGAGCAGCCTGTCTATGGGACACAGCACTTGAAGCTCCCAGCTTACCCTCACCAGCAGCCCTTCGTTCAGACCTGTGCATCAGCTTATATCCAACTCAGCTATCCTGGGCTCCGCTAAGCTGTCATCGCTCAAGTCGCTGTACCCATCACTGCAGAAAAGAGGAATACACTCAGCAAGGTGTGAAAGGAAACCTTGCATAACTCTTCCATTGTTTCTGGTGCTTGCTTGCTTGTCTTTGAGACAAAGTCTCATTGTGTAGCCCAGGCTGACCTGAACTCATGGTGATCCTCCTGCATCAGCCTTCCGAGTGCTGGGATTACAGGCATATGCCACCACGCCAGGCCTCAAACTAATATTTAAATACAATAAAATTTCAGTAAAAATCCCTAAGGAACTTTTTTTTTACTCAAACTTGACCTTAACAATCACTGTAAAGTTTACTAGAAGAATAGCAAAATACGTTTTTAAAAATGTGGGCCGGGCGCGGTGGCGCACACCTGTAATCCCAGCACTCGAGAGGCTGAGGCAGGAGGATCACTGTGAGTTTGAGACCAGCCTGGGCTACAACGTGAGCTCAAGCCCAGCCTGAACTGCATAGCGAGACCCAAAAGTAAATACTGAGAATAGGCTAGATAAGAGGCCTTAATTTACAATAATGCTCTGATAATGAAAAGAATAATAAAGGTTCCAGTATTAGAGATAAAAATCAGGAAAAAAAAAAAAAATCAGCCTGGTAGAGTGGTGTATTCCTGTAATCCCAGCACTCAGAAGGCTGAGGCAGAAGGACCTCCAAAAGTTTGAAGCCAGCCTTAACTATATAGGGAGACCCTGTCACAAGAAAAAGAGCAAGAGAGATAAAATCATCAGTTGAACAAAATATAAATCCTTGAAATAAAACCAAATTCCTCAATTTGTAATTTACAGGGAGAGGAGGAGTCAGATCTCTACCTGATACACATCACTCACTCACTCACACACACATACACACACAAACTGCATATAGATGTGAACTATCGTCTGAAACCCGCACAAGTGCATGGGGTTAGGGCCCACGGAACGTCTCCCTAGGAAGACTTCGGGCAGCGCAGAAGATAGGAGAGTCAGTCCCCAGTGCACACGCTCACCGCCACAGGCGAGGATGGAGGAAGCCTGGCTCACCCTCCTTAGGGAGGGAACAGCTCCTGTTACCAAGGGAACAAGAACCACTTTGAGAAGGAGCTGCCTGGGGAATGCAGCAGTCACGGCACCACACAGGAGGCAGCCAGCAGCTAGAAGGACCACAACGCAGCAAGGGTCTGCGTGGCCAGCCGCATGGCAGTGCCAAGAAGCACATGTAACAGTTAGTCAGAGCTCTTAGCAACTGGTGAGGCGACAGAAAAGGTCTAACCTTACTTAATGAAACAAGAAAGATTTCTAAAATAAAAGCCAGTGTCAGCAAGCTTTGGAGGGCTGGCACATGACTGCTATAGATGTGAACAAGTCATTTTTTTTTCTTTTTTGAGACAGAGTCTCAACATGTAGCTCAGGCTGGCCTCAAATTTGCATCGATCCTCCTGCCTCAGCCTCCTGAATGCTGGGATAAAGGCGTGCTCCACACGCCTGGTGAGTCCTTATTTTCATGAAGGGAAAACCTTCAAAGGGGAAATGTGCCCCTTCACATCAAAACCATCCCTTGGTGCCATCACTCTCTCAGCAACGGGCAACTTACCCAGACAGCAGTGGGCCCATCTGCTGCAGGTACGTGCGCAAATTCCCTGTTGCTGCAAGCAGGAGCCCCAAGTAGGGAGGGGAAGGCTTCATCGGCCTGGAAGAAAACTCCGGGTGGAACTGGACACCAACGAAATAGGGATGATCTGAAATGACAGCAGGCAGGGTGTGATTGAACAGACAGACATGAGACCCACAGGAAGATCATCCTATCATTCAGCACAGACATTCATCGGAAACCGAGATGATTATTTAACTTGTGGCTGTCTTTTATGATTCTTCATCTTTTGATTTTTCATTTCTTTATTTTTGGTTTTTTGATAGGGTTTTGCTATGTAGTCCAGCCTGGCCTTGAACTTGAGGCAACCCTCCTGCTTCAGCCTCCCAATTGCTGGAATTGCAGGCGTGCACCACCATGCCCCGCTTTCACGATTCATTTGTAAAGTGGAATTCTACATTGTAAAACATGTCTCACTTACTACACGATCTGGAATTTTATTTGTGGAAGGCAGCAGAAGGAGCAAAAGTAGGCAGAGGTTCTGGAGGGCCAGCTTTTCCATTGGGTATTAACCACAGGACCATGATGGCACTGTCACTCACATTTCAGGCTGGGTAGCTCATCCCTTACAATAACAGGTCCCTACTATACTGCCAGGCGTGGTGGCTTTCAGAGTTTCTCCACTTAGTATGATGTTAGCTGTTTGTTTGTCATAGATAGCTTCTATCTGATTGAGATAAACACCATCTATTCCAATTTTCTGTAGAATTTTTATCATGAATGGGCACTGAACTTTGTCAAAAACTTTTTCTGCATCTATTCAGATGATTATGATTTTTGTCCTTGGATCTATTCATATGGTATATTACATTTATTGATATACATATGTTGAACAATCCCTGCATCACAATTTTATTGAGTGATGTTGGTTTATTTAGAATTTTAATATCTTCTTGATTCAGCTTTGATAATTCATATAGATCTAGGAGTCTGTCCATTTCTGCATTTTCCATCTTATTAGAGTACAGGTTCTCAAAGTATTGATCTTCTGGATTTCTGCAGGGTTCATTGTGATTTCACCCTTTTCATTCCTAATTGCATGGATTTGGGTCTTTTCTTTTTTGGATAAGGTTAGATAAGGGCTTGTCGATTTTATTTAATCTTTCAAAGAAATAACTCTTTAATTCATTGGTTCTTTGTATTGTTTTCTTAGTCTTCACTGCATTAGTTTATTTTACTCTCCACTGCATTAATTTCTGCTCTGATCTTTATAATTTCCTCCCTTGTATGAGTTTTAGGCTTGACCTACTCTTACTTTTCTAGAAGCCTGAGGTTCACCATTAGGTTGTTTGAATTTGCTCTGCCTTTGTAATATGGGAATTTACTGCTATAAATTTGCCTTGCAGGACTGCTTTCATTGCACCCCATAATTCTAGGATGTTGTATTGACATTACTGTTTAATTGTAGAAATTGTCTAATTTCTTCTTTAATTTTATCTGTGACCCACTGGTTATTTGGGAGGGTGATATTTAATTTCCATGTGTTTATGAAGTTCTTCTGGTTACTTAATCTTTTGTCTGAGGAACAGCTGGCAAACATTTTTTCTCATATTGTGGGTTGTCTCTTTACTCTGTTGGTGGTTTCTTTTGTCATGCAAAAGCTTTTCAATAAGATGAGAGCCCAGTTGTTGATTCTTTGTGATAGCTCCTGTGAGACTGGGGTTTCATTCATTCTTTGCATACACCAATGTCTTTATAAGTTTTACCTATTCTATCATTTGGTATTTTTAATGTTTCTATTTTAATATTTAGATCTTTCATCCATTTTGTATTTAGTTTGGTGCACGGTGAAAGACATGGGTCCAATTTTAATCTTCAGCATTTACAGAGCCAGTTTTTCCAGCACCATTTATTAAAGAGGCTATCTTTCTTCCAGTGTATGTGTTTGGCCCCTTTGTCAAAGATAAGGTGGCTGATATGTCTGGAATTGTTTCTGCATCTTCTAATCTCTTCCATTGATCTTTGAGTCTTTTTTTTTTTTTTTTTTTTTTTGGCCAGTACCATGCCATTTTCATCACAGTAGCATTGTAGTATAATTTCAAGTCAGGGATTGCGATGCCCCCTGCCTTACCTTTGTTGCCCAGAATTGCCTTTGCTATTCTAGGTCTTTTCTGGTTCCAAATGAATTTTAGAATTGTTTTCTCTAATTCTGAGAGATATGCTGTTGGAATTTTGATCAGAATTACACTAAATCTGTATAACAGTTTTGGAAGTACGGCCAATTTTCACTATAGTGGTTCTTCCTAACCAACAGCAGGAGGTATCTTTCCATTTCTAATATCCTCTTTAATCTCTTTTTTCAGAATACTATAGTTTTCATTGTAGAGGTCTTTCACATCCTTCATAGATTAATCCTAGGCATTTTATTTTTTGGATGCCATTGTGAAAGGTTGTTTCTCTAATTTCTCTCTCAGTGAGTTTGTTCTTCATGTAAAGGAAGGCTACTGATTTTTGAGTGTTTTGGGTTTTTTTTTTTTTTTTTTTTGTGGCACCAGGGATTGAACTCACAACCTTGCACTTGCCAGGCAGGCGCTTATGCCACTGAGCTATATCCTCAGCCTGATTTTTGAGTGTTGACTTTGTATCCAGCTATGCTACTGAATTTGCTTATTAAATCTAGCAGTTTTTTAGTGCAGTCTTTGTGGTCTTCTATGTAGAGTATCATGTCATCTACAAATAATGATAATTTAACTTCTTCCTTTCCTATCATTATTCCTTTTATTTCTTTCTCTTGTTGCTCTGGCTAAAGGTTTCATGACCATGTTGAATAACAGCGGAGACAGTGGACATCCTTGTCTTGTTCCTGATTTTAGAGTGAAAGCTTTCAGATTTTTTCCATTTAGTATGATGTTAACTGTTGGTTTATCATAGATGGCTTTTATCAGATTGATATAAAGATGATCAATTCCAATTTTCTGTAGGGTTTTTATCATGAATGGGTGCTGGACTTTGTCAAAATCTTTTTCTGCATCTATTCAGATGATCATACGACTTTTGTCCTTGGCTCTGTAATACAGTGTATTACATTTACTGATTTATTTATGTTGAACCATCCCTGCATCCCAGGGATGAATTCCACTTGGTCATGGTGTATAATCTTCAGGATGATTTGCTGCATTCTGTTTGCCAGTATCTTATTGAGGACTTTTGCATCTATGTTTATTAGGGAGATTAGCCTGTAATTCTCTTCCTTAGTTAGGTCTTTTTCCAATTTTGCTACCAGAGTAATGCTTGCTTCCAAGAATGCACTTGGGAGTATTGCTTCACTTTCAACTTCATGTAAAGAGTTTGAGAAGTAGTAATGTTATGTCTTCCCTAAATTTTTTTTTAGGCTGGCCTTGACTCTGTAGCCCAGGCTGGCCTCAAACTTGTAGCGATCCTCCTGCCTCAGCCTCCCAAGTACTGGGATTACAGGTGTGTGCCACTGTCCCAGCTTCTCTAAATTTCTTGCAGAATTCAGCAGTGAATCCATCAGGCCCTGGGATTATCACTGTTGGTAGGATTTTAATTACATCTTCAATTTCAATGATTGATATTGATATTGGTTTATATAGCATTTTTGTATCTTCTTGATTCAGCTTTGGTAATTCATATACCTAGGAATCTGTCCATTTCTTCTGCATTTTTGCAAGGTCCTTGTGATTTCACCCGTTTCATTCCTAATTACATGGATTTGAGTGTTTTCTTTCCTTTTTTTGGTAAGGTTGGATAAGGGTTTGATTTTATTTAACCCTTCAAAGAACCAATGTTTCAATTCATTGATTCTTTGTATTTTTCTTTTTAGTCTCCAATGCATTGATTTCTGCTCTGATCATTTTAATTTCCTCCCTTGTACAACCTTTTGGCTTAGCCTGCTCTTCTTTTTCTAGAAGTTTGAGGTTCACTATTAAGGTGTTTATTTGTGCTTGTTCTGTTTTCCTGATCTGGATATTCATTGCTATAAATTTCCCTCTTAGGACTGCTTTCATTGTGTCCCATAAGTTCTGCTATGTTGTATTATCATTATCAATTGATTGTAGAAACTAATTTCTTTAATTTCATCTGTGACCCATTGTTTGTTCAGCAGGGTGCTATTTAATTTCCATGTGTTTATTAAATTTTTTTGCTTTCTTTTGCCATTAATTTCCAATTTCATTGCACTATGGTCTGATAATATGCATGGAATAATTCCAGTTCCTTTACATTTAATTAAGCATGTTCTATGAGCTAGTATATAGTCTATTTTGGAGAACATCCCATGTGCAGCTGAGAAAAATGTGTATTCTGACGTTGGTGGGTAGAATACTCTGTAGACATCTACTAAGGCCGTTTGTTCAAAAGTTTGGTTCAGTTCCAATATTTCATTGTTAATTTTTTTTTCTAGTTGATATTTTTGTGACAGTGGGGTATTGAGATCCCCCAATATAATTGTATTAGTGCTTATTTGCTTTATCATGTCTGTTAATATTTGTTTTATATAGTTGGGTGCACTAGTATTTGTTGCATATATATTTATGATTATTATCACTACCTCTTGGATTGTTCCCTTTACAAAGATGTAGTGACTTTCTTTATATCTCTTAATCAGTCTTGGCTTGAAATTTACTTTGTCTGCAAATAGAATAGCTACTCCTGCTTTTTTCTTGGTTCCTATCACATGGAGTATTGTTTTACATCCTTTGACTTTCAGTCTATGAATTTCTTTTCAAATTAAATGTGTTTCTTGCATGCACCATATTGTTGGATCTTATTTCTTGATCCATTCTGCCGGTGTGTGTCTTTTCATTGGTGAATTGAGACCATTCACATTGATGGTTATAACTGATATGTACTGACTTATCCTTGTTATGTTATTTTCCTGTTGTTGGCTCCCTGCTTTTTTTCCCTTCCTCTGTTTACTTGCTTGCCTTGCCTGGTGAACTCATTCTGTTGGGGTTTATGGAGTTGTAGTCCTTGTTATCTCTTTCTGGAATATCCCTCAGTACATCTTGGGGTGCTGGTTTCATGGTTATGAATTTCCTCAGATGTTCTTTGTCATGGAAGTATCTTATTTCTCCATCAGTTTGGTTTTTTTGTTTTTTTGTTTTTTTTTTTTTTTGTACCAGAAATTGAACTCAGGACCTTTCACTTGCCAGGTCTCCATCAGTTTTAAAAGATAATTTTGCATGGTACATCAATCTGGTTAAAGGTTGTTTTCCTTTAGAACCTGAAATACTTCACTCTAAGCTTGACTTGAGGGTTTGTGCTGAGAAGTCAGCTGTGATTCTGATGGGCTTTCCTTTATAGGTGATTTGTTTCTTTTCCCTAACAGCTTTTCAGATTCTATTCTTGTGCTGAATCTTGACTATGATATGCCTGGCTGTAGATGTTTTTTGATCATGGCTAACTGGAATTCTATAAGCCTCACTTATGGGTATGTCAATTTGTTTTTCTCTACCAGGGAAGTTTTCTGCCATTACTTCTGTGAGCAGGTTTTTTCTGTTGTTTGCACTATCTCCTGCTTTTTCTTTTGAGACAAGGTCTTGCTATGCAGTTCAGGCTGGCCTTGAACTCACTACATATCCCCGGTTGGCCTAGATCTCACAGCAATCCTCCTGCCTCAGCCGCTCAAGTGCTAGGATTACAGGTGTGTGCCAAAATGCCCAGCTCTCCTGCTTTTTCATTGACTCCAAGCCATCTTATGTTATTGTTCTTTTGCATCATCTATCAGCTCTTGGGTTGACTTTTCATGGCCCTTTGGTTTTTCAGTTTTGTTTTGTTTTATTTTGGTACCAGGAATTGATCTCACAACCTCATGCTTGCCAGGCAGGCGCTGTGCTGATGAGCTATATCCCCAGTACCCTTGTTATTTTTAAGAAATCTTTCTTTTCATGATTGCTAACCACAACCCTGTGTTCTACATCTGATATTCTGCCCACACACTGGCTCATTCTGCTGCATATAATTTCATTAGAATTTTTAATCTCCTGGATATCTGTTTAAGTCTGTTTAATGAATTCCATTTCTTTCCTATGTTGGGCATTCATGGGTTCCATCATTTTCCTAAGTTCCTCTTATTATTTGTTTTAATCTCTTTCTGCTCTAGAGTCACTAACCATGTCTTTCATTATGATGACCATCTCTGTAGTTATCTGAGAAATTATTTCTGATTTGATGTTTTCTAGACTCTCATTCATCTGTTGTATTACTTTGGATGTTACCACTTCAGAGAATCCAGGTGGGTGGCTTTCAAAGTGTTCCACCTCATTGTCCCCGGGTTTGTCTTTGATGAGCTGGAAGTCTGGGGTTACATCTTGCTTAAGTGACTCCTCACTTTCTATTTTTTTCTTTTAGTTTAATTGCTAGATCACTGCTTATAAATTCCTTATGGCAGATAGGTTTATTGCCAATATTTAGAACCCTTAGGAAATGACTACTTCTCAGAGATGTCTTCCAGGTGTAGCTCGCTTTTGGGTTTTGAGTCTGTTTCAAGATCCTACCTCTTCAACTGGGGATGCTAAGTTGCTGCCTACTTGTCCCAGTATCTGGTTCTTTGGCACTGGCCTATAGTATTATTTATGGCCCTTAGGCAATCTCAGTCTTGGCACACCAGGAAGAACAACTAATTAGAGCAATTATGTCACCTTGGCTAAAGTAGCATAATCAGCAATAACAAAAGCATCAAACACAGCCTAGAAAATGACAAACTCAGAGAATCATTAATTTGCCACCTTTAACCATATGAAGTAGATTTGTGGGTATATAACAACATCTAAAACAAACCAGAAAATTATATATAGTAAATAGGTCCTCAATACAGCAATTTTACCCACAGGGGAAAAAATTTAAAAGGGCTTGGGGGAAAAATAGAGAAATAAAAGAAGAGGAAGAGATTAACAGCAAAGGTAAAGGACAAAGGAAGACTCCAAGAATTTTGGAAAACTGGTGAAGAAGACAGTAGGGAAAGAGAGAAGGAAGAAAGATAAACAAGAACAGAACAGAACAACAACAACAAAAAAACTAGAAACAATGTTCACACTCATATAAAAAAACAAGAACAAACAAGCAAGAAAAAGCAAAACAAAAACAAGAAAAGAAAAAAATAAGAAAAAAACAAATCTCCACTTCAAGGTATGTCTCTGCTGTCACTGGTAGACAGAGTAGGCAGGCAGAATCCATATCCAAATTGATTAATCCCAACAAGTCAGCCATAGCTTTACAGCAGGGTAGTGAATAATCCTAGCAAGCCTAAACCTTTAGTTGCACTGAAGTTTGGGCTGGTTTCTGGCTGTGAGGCTGAAATCTGATTTATTCACCCTGCAATACTCCATGTGCCTCCTGCTGGCTTGAACTCAGCTCCTTGACCTCTTGCTGAGTTAACTCAGTTCTGCCTCAACTTGACACTGGAAGCTGCTAGATGGAGCCAGCCCACAGATGCTCTGAGTTCTGAACTCAGCTGGCCGCTTTGCAAGGTGGCTACCAGCCAGTTGCCCTCTCCTGCATGACATCTAAACCTGAATGACTCACCAGCCACTGGAAGTCCACTGCATCCACTGATACATTGTACTGGTGCATTTCTCCATGGAGCCCTCTGGGGTTGCCATGCGTGTGCAGTTTCATACCACCCCTCCCATACAGTGAGTCAGGACTCAGGGAGAAAACATCATTTGCCACCTCCCTCTTCTGCAATGAGATCTCTTTCTGTGCTCTCCCCATGGGACCCACTGTCCTCATTCTTCTTTTACTCATGTTGCTATATTTCAGCATCTGGACACCAAATCTCAGAAAGGCTGTGTCACTGCTGTTCACCACCCTGCCATCTTCCCAGAAGGCCTCCATTTCTTTTTTTTTTCCTTAATTTTAAAAAATCTTTTTATTTTGAAACAAGGTTTCCACAAGTCTCTAAGTTGTCCAGGCTGGCCACGAACTTGCATCTCTCCTGCCTCAGCCTCCCAGAGCCCAGCTCCTTTGGTTATAAAGCATTGTGAGTGCAGTTTGGTGCTCAGAGTGCAGTTTGGTGCTTAGACGTGAAGTGGTCCAAGCTTGAGCTGTCAGGAAAGGCAGGAGTAACCAAGGCCCTCCTGGAAGCAACTTCAACAGTGTTCATTTTTGGCCATTCCTCAACAAAGGACAGCAAAAGCACCAGTGCTAGCAGCTGCATGCTTGGTGCACAGTGTCTGGCCTAGCAGTTCATACAGGGGACTCCAGGTAGGGACTAGGGAGAGGCAAGGAAACCGACTACTTGGAGAACTGCTGCACTGGGAAAAGTACACTATTTTCTGGTAGGTTCAGATCACCGGGCCCCCAAATGACTAGGATTGTAAGCCATCTACTTTTCACACACTTTGTCTTCTGTTTTGTTTTGGTTTGGTTTGGTTTTTGAGACATGGTCTCACTGTGTAGCCCAGGCTGGCATCGAACTCACAGCAATCCTCCCGGCTCAGCCTCCCGAGTGCTGGGATGACAGGTGTGCACCACCACACCTGGCTGTTTTTCATGTACCTTGTAGCTGCCTATTTATTTCAAAGGAGAGCAGAAAAGAAACAGCAAAAAACTGAACCTCAAATGAGTCTGGGGTTGACAAAAGCTGTCAGTACACCTCAAAGCCTTTCAGGAAAAGAGGCCACTTACTTGCCAGTTCAATGATTTCCATCCTCTTCCCATCGACATCCTGACCTACAAAAACTAGGTCTTTCTGTTCAAAGTGGCTGATCAGGTTAGGGTTCACCTAGAGATACAAGAAATCCAATGTCTTTAAGCCACAGCACAATCCAGACACCTTGCCTTCTGAAAAAGTCTGTTGTCAGCTGGATGGGTTTCCTTGATCCCTTAACTCATACTTAATCTCTATTTCCATGCCTAATTTTGTTTTGTTTTGGTTTTTTGAGACATGGTCTTGCCATGTGGTCCAGGCTGGCCTTGAAGTCACAGTGAGTCTCCTGCCTCAGTCTCCCAAGTGCTAGGATCACAGGTGTGCACCACCACACCTGGCCTGTTATTATTTGGACTGATATGAATGAATAACAAACAGAAATTTTTGTTCTATGCAGCCCAAAGCGTCCTAACGAATACATTAATTAACCCTGACACAGGCAGTTGGTGTCTATGGACACCTATAGTTCTCATGCGGCAATCCCAAAATTTAAGTCCCCTTAGTCATGTGACACTAAGTCTTGGGCTCAATGTAACCCCCCAAAGAGGGTCCCCAACCTAAGTCCACCACAGGAGACCAGAAGACAGCCCTGTGCCCAAAGGCACTCAGTCCCTTTTCAGAGACGCCCCTTCCCTTCAACTTGAAAAGGAAGCACCAGGGTTTGAAAAGGTGCAGCCACCCCTCGGGTGGAGGACGGCAGAGCTGCTATGCCCGGGCAGATGCCAATGCTCTTGGCAGGCCTACCTCGTACCGATGCCTGTGTCTCTCCTCTATGAACGGGACATCACCGTACAGTTTCCCTGAAAGACACAGAGAGAGATGAGCACTGGAGCAATCAGTTTTATTACTACTACCATTTTTTTTTAAATTTTGGGACAAGCCGGGCGTGGTGGCGCACGCCTGTAATCCCAGCACTCGGGAGGCTGAGGCAGGAGGATCTTTGTGAGTTCGAGACCAGCCTGGGCTACAAAGTAAGCTCAAGGCCAACCTGAACTGCACAGCGAGACCCTGTCTCAAAAGGACAAAACAAAAAAAAAAAATTTAAAAAAAATTTTGGGAGAGTCTTGCTCTGTAGTTCAGGCTGGCCTTGAACTCACGAAGGAAATTAGGCTGTCCTCAAACTCAGAGCGATCCTCCTGCCTCAGCCGGAGTGCCGAGATGAGGGAGTGCCACCACACCTGGCTTGAGGTGATCATCTGGAGAACCACACCGTGACACTTGCAGAGGCCTCTGCGGTGTGTTTATCAGAGGCTCCGGGTCACAGGCTGGGTGCAATAACCTAGGGCAGTGGTGGCGAACCTGTGGCAGCTGTGCACAGCCAGCTGTTTGTTATCACTGAAAGCTCGGAAAGGTTCAGGCTCTACAATATGGTGACAGCGTCTGCAGAAGCCATCGCCATGGCCTGTGGAAGCCCATGGTTGCAAAGCCTGGAGGGAGGCCAGTAGATCCGAACAGGCAGAGCCACCCAGCAGAGACAGAGCGACCCTCGGTGTGTGGCACCTGGGCTGTGCTCAGAAGCCTGCACTTGCCAGTGGCGAGGTGATCAGTACTGTCAGTAAGAGGGGTATGGATGTCATCCACTGCTAGGTCGTGTCCCTGACCTACAAGGCGCAATCATAACATACTGTGAATGTTTAAATTAAAACATTATTACTATGAAAGACACCTGGCCATAAATCCCCCTCAGAATCCTCTCCTGGCTTCAAACACACTTGTCCCGTGGTTCTTGCCGCTTGCTGTAGCAGTTCTGGAGCCCTCTTTCCTGAAGATTCTTTCTAGGGTGTGATCAAAAACACGGTGAGTGCTGCTGCCGAGTGCCAGCCCACGGAGAGGCAGCTCGGGAAAACCTCACAGGTACCCTCACCCACTCTGTTCACTGGACCTGGCGCTATGCAACTGCTGGCTCTTCCCAAAGGCAAAATGACCGGAAACAGCAAACATTCTGAGCTGTCATGATGGTGCACCTACCACACTCAGGACACAGGACTCCAGAGCCGCTGCACAAAGTGACAGGAACGACGGGCTCAGTATGTTCGGGGCCAGGGTGAGGGTTCTGAAGGGGCTTCATGTCAGTGTGTTCTTCATAATAACTTTTCTAAATGTGAGCGCTCACCGTACTTTTTGACTATGCCTCCATGCTACCAAACACAGCTCAGCGAGCAGCTGGCCCAGGCACATGCGACAGGAAGCAGTGACAAATGACCATGGTGTGGACTTTTAAACACTTCTGCAAATCACCTCATTAACCCAGCCAAAGTTTCTGATTTTATAAAACTTCCTAACAATCTAATCTCCTGAGAAACTAGAAACTGCTCTTCGGTATCAGTGCTGGGACAAGAGAAAAGAAAGCCCAGCACTTTTTCCAGCCCAGACCTGCTCCGCCTTACCCTCATTTCTTCCCGCTCTCCTTCGGGTTCTCCCCTTCCCCACTCTGGACATCAGTGCCCAGAACACGACCCGAGCCCTCTACTGCGCTGCCGGTACCACTTCCTGGTGGCCTCTTAACTCTGCCTTCTAAACTCTGCTTTTCTCCTACAGGAAAGCAGAGCCAACATCTTAGTAAAGTCCCTCGCCTCAGTGAGGAAATGCTGAGGGTTTTTTGGTTTTTGTTTTTTTGAGATATAGTCTCACTCTGTAGCCCAGGCTGGCCTTAAAATTGTTGAGATCCTCCTGCCTCGGCCTCCCTCAATCCCAGGATTCCAGGCATGCCTCACTGCTCCTGGCTGGGATGCTGGGTTTCACCTCTCTGGGATTCAAAAAGCATAGCCCAGCCCACTATCAAATATGAGCCCCCAGTTTCTGTTAGGCCCTCAAACTAAGAATGTTTTTTACACTTCCAAATGGCTGAAAAAATTTAAGTGACCTAGAAAAGTACAGGACACTCAATTTCAGTGCCCATGAATAAAATTTCACTGGAACACAGCCATTGTCATTTGCTTATTCACTGGCCCTTCACTGAAAAGTTTCCTAAGCCAGGGGTGGTGGTACACACCTGCCATCCCAGCACTCGGGAGGCTGAGGCAGGAGGATCACAGTGAGTTCAAGGCCAGCCTGGGCTACAGAGTGAGTTTAAGGCCAGCAGAACTACATAGTGAGACCCTGCCCCAAAAAACTAGCAAAAGAGAGAGACAGAGAGAGAGAGAAAAAAAAAAACAAGAGAGAGAGTAAGAACTTTCTGGCCCCAGCTTAGCCACCAAGGCCAACTACCTGGGGAAAAAGCCCCTATTCCCAGGCTGAAATGCTAATGAAGACCGAGCACAGATGAATCCACACGGCAGACACAGGCTCACTGGGCAACACCCAAAGGACATGCGCAGTAGAGCCCTGAAGCAAGGGCTCCTCCATCCTCCCCACAGAAAGTGGACAAAAGACCACACTACAGGCAAGGCCAGGAAAGTAGGAGCCCTAGCGCTGTGAGCGTCACTGTAACCAACTCCTCTTCTTTGAAACCCTTCCACAGAGTTATCAGTCATAAAAGTGTCCTACCCTTTCACCTAATCACCCAAGTCCTGGAAACCTATTCTAAGGGATGCCACCAGGTTGCCTGAGTCAGCGATTTCCTAAGAAAACGTCAGAACCAGGCTGAAATGTTTATCAACAGGAAATGAATCAGCACATTGAGTTCCTTATGCCCATTAGGTACTATATACCCAGAGCCCAACAGAGAGGTGCATTTGGAGTCCCAGCTAACCCAGAGGCAGAGGCAGAAGTTCTTGAGCCTGCAAATTTAAGGCCAGCCTGAGTAACACAGTGAGACCTAGTCTCAACAAAAAAGAGAAAACACATACTATGTGCCCAAATAACAGACATGAAGACCAGAGAGGTGGAAAAGTTAGGCTGTAATAAAAGACTACACGCCAGCTATGGTAGCACATGCCTGTAATCCCAGCACTTAGAAGACTGAGGCAGGAGGATCGCTGTGCTACATAGTGAGTTCAAGGACAGCCCGAACTATATAGTAAGACCTTATCTCAAAGAATAATAATAATAATAATATGTTCTAAAATTGTGAGGATGGTTGCACAACTCTGAATGTGATAATAACCAGGCAACTATACACTAGTAAGAGCTGAATCCCATGGTATGTGAATTATATCACTAAAGCTGTTGAAAAGAACATCTTAAATAAGCTCTGGTACCGTGTTTAAAATTCATAAAAATCAACACTACTTTTGTCTACTGTAAGTAAAAATAAATCTTAAATTCATCTTATTTCCATGGTCTTTAGATACATTAAGCACAATGCTCTTTTGAAAAAGCTTAGCGCAATTATCTCTGAATCTTTTCCAGCAGATATAATTTTAAAACATTAATTTTTTTCACTAACTGCTTTTGTGACTTAGGCAATTATCTGAACAGTTCAAGAGTATCTGAAAACATTGGAGAGCCAAAGCCTTCGCTGCCACGCAGGACAAGAGGAAGACTGGTGTTGTGCTCAGCAGCAGCCTTGGGGAGCAGCAGGGCTGAACCCGTATTTAAAGGAGAAACTCTCACTCCACGTCTTGCTCTTCCCTAAGTCCAGAGTTTCCTAAGATATTCTTGTTGGTTTGCTCCTTTGCTTTGTAATTCTGGGATCAAACCCGGGCCTCTGTGCTGAGCTATATTCTGAGCCTTTTTTTTTACTTTCAGAGCAGGTCTCAGGCAGTCTGAGCCAGGCATGGTGGTGCATCCCTATAATCCCAGTACTCCCAGCACTTGGGAGGCTGAGGCAGGAGGATCACTGGGAGTTTGAAGTTCCCCGGGGGCTACTTAGCAAGACTGTCTCCCCCAAAAAGTCGCTAAGTGGCCCACACTAGGTTTGAATTTCTAATCTCCCTGTCTTTGATGTTTGTTTGGTTTTCCGATCCTGAACCACACTGCACGCCGGCGGAGTGCTCTACAAGAGAGTGCACCCCGTGAGGCTCCCATTAGGGACTCCGCACTTCAGGGGATGGCTCAGTGGTCAGAGACCTTGGGGCCGCTGCGTCTAGCGTCTTTAGAGCCTTGCCCCTCCCCTTGCCCACTTCCGCCACTAGGTTCTTTGTGTTTCTGACACAAGGCCTTGCTATGCAGTCCAGGCTGGCCTTGAGCTCACTATGTAGCCCAGACTGGCCTCCAACTTGCGTCGATCCCCCTGCCTCTGCCTCCCGAGTGCTGGGATTACAGGTGTGCACCACCACGCGCGGCTCCCCATGTGTTCTGCGGCCCTGGGAAGGCAGAGCTGGTTCTGTGCTACTCCTTGCTAGAGCTCCAAAGTCGAGCAGAATGCAGACGGCACAGAATAGACACCTCCACTGAACTAAGGGCTCTGGTGGTTGTTTTGCTGTTTTATTTTGTTTTGTTTTTGAGGCAGGGTCTTGCTGCATACCCCAGGCTGGCCTCAAACTCGCTGTAATCATCCTGCCTCAGCCTCCGGAAAAGCAGAGCAATCAATGTCAGTTCACATGCAACAGCGCACTCACCCTGTGGCTCCACGCCGCAGGATCTTCCTAGAGACAGGAGCACTGGGTACAGCGTCCCCAGGGAAGGGGTGGCAGGGACGGGGAGACTCAGTTCCTGAGGCTGCCAGAGGGGACAGGACTGAGCCTCTGCCACAGAGCTGGGTCCCAGCACAGTCACAAGAACATACGGCGTCTTTCAAATAAGCCATCTCGGACACTTCCATCGCGGACACTTACTCAGTATGGAATTCTGGGTTTTGAAGACAGTTCTTCTTAGTCCCAGCCTCATGGTCCCGCCAAGATCACCAGGATTGTGTTCTGGCATATCAATTACCTCGGGAAAGAAGACAGGCCAGGTTTACCTAAGCAAAAGAACTGCTCACATTTCAAACTTTGCTTTTATTATTATCGTTGTTGTTGTTGTTGAGACAGGGTCTCACTATGCAGCTCAGCCTGGCTCAAACTCATAGTGATCCTCCTGCCTCAGCCTCCCAACTGCTGGGATGACAGGCGTGGAGCTGACACTTTTGGTGAGATGCTGGAAGAGCTCGGCCGGGTTAGTCCGCCGCATGGCCCGCGCCAGCCCGCACCGGCCTCGCCCTCTCTCCCCCACACTGAGTGCCTTCAGATGCACACACGGAATTTCCTGAGCTAAGGGTTTCTGAGAAAATGTTCCATCTTATCAGCCAGGGCATTTAGAGCCTCTGAACTCTGTGTCCCCGGCCAGCCGCAGGAGTGGCTGTGGGGAAGGGGACTGGTTCCCTGGGTCACGGGTGCAGCGGCAGCACATCTGTCCCCTCCACCGCTGGCTGCGGCTGGATTATTACCGCAGGGAGGTGAGCAGGGCCCTGGGCGCCCAGCCTTCTGTGCATACCCTGGGTGATGGCAGAGAGGACCACGGCAGTGGCTCCTGTATGCCCGGGGCCCCAACTGCAGGGAAGTTCAGGTTCCGACACCCTGGAGTGGGGAGGCCTTGTAGTGGATTTGTTTCTTTGTTCTTTTGAGACAGGGTCTCAGTGTATAATTCGGGGCTGGCCTTGAACTCACTATGCATCCCAGGCTGGCCTCAACCTCTTAGCAATCCTCCTGCCTCAGCCACTCAAATGCTGGGATTACAAGTGCACACCACCATGTCCATCTCCCATAGTATTTTTTTTTTCTTTTTAGCTTTTATTTTTTTATTAGTCCATGTTTGCAGTACATCATGAATACACTCATCATGGGGAGCTGGTCCGTGTACATAACACATCTTCATTCTTTTCACATTCCACTCCCTCTCCTCCCCGTCCCTCATACAATGGAGTACTGCTCTGCCATAAAGAAGGATAAACTTGAGCCGGGCATGGTGGCGCACGCCTGTAATCCCAGCACTCGGGAGGCTGAGGCAGGAGGATCGTTGCAAGTTTGAGGCCAGCCTGGGCTACACAGTGAGACCCTGTCCCAAAACACCAAAGCAACATAAACAAACAACATAAAAATGACAGCTTTTGGTCTCTCGGGTAATAAGCAAACTAACTCAGCAACAAAAAAACAGAACAGCTGTGTTCCTCGACTCCCTGCCACGCAGAGCCTGAGACAGGGCGGCGGTGCCCACAGGCTCCCCCTGCAGCGTCTCGGGGTGGGCAGAGGAGAACCTCAGCACGCAGCACGCTGCGCCCCAACATCCCTGAGGCCCTAGGCTTGACGTCGAGCAGGGAAACGCCCATTGCACCACAAAAGGGCTGCTCTGGCCGCTCATCTGTTCAAAATCCTGGCTGTGAACAGACCTCCTTATCTGGTTTTCCTTTTTTCGTGTTTTGAGTTGCGATATGTAGCCTGGCTGGCCTTGAACTCCCAGCGATCCTCCTACCTCAGCCTCCCGAGTGCTGGGATCACAGGCAAGCGCCGCCACACCTAGCTATTTTTTGGAACTCAGCCATGTAGAAAAAGAAAATAAAAAAAGATCAATAAGCAATAAAGCTTTAGGGGATGTAAAGGCACAAGCGAAGGGTAGATGTGGCACTAATTAACCTCTGCTGACTCCCCGCAGCCCACAGGAAGAGTGCAAAACAGGTCACCAGACCCTAGATGTCATCAGACCCAAGCCTGTCCTCGGTGGCACTCAGGTGTCACCCATCACGGCCCAGGTACCTGTGCTTTCCTCGTGGATTCCAGCCAGGACTTCCTCCCTCGGCCACACAGGGCCTAGGCAGGCTGCTCCCCACTTCTCACTAGGCCGCACTGCGGGCGTCACCATCACCGTCATTGTCACACTGTCCAGAGCCACAATTTCCCTCCATCCTGGTCCACAGGCAGGGAGGCAGGCGGTGTGGTGCCCTCCAGGTCTCCTTACAACCCTGTAGTTAGTGTCACCGCAGCCTAGGCTCTGTCCCTTGGCTTTCACTGAGTTCTTAGGAGGCCTCCCCAAGGACGTCCACTCCTAGTCCCTGGAACCAAAGAACCTGGGACCCCGCAGCACACAACTTTGCAGATGTGATGAAGGCTGCGTGTGTGTGTATGATAGGAACTGAAATCAATGCCTTCCCACTAAGCTACACTCCCGGCCTTTTTTAATATTATTATTTTTTACTTTGAAACAAAGTCTTGCTAAGTTGCCCAGGCTCGGCTTCAACTTGGATCCTTCTGCCTCAGCCTCCCAGAGCACTGAATTACAGGCGGGCGCCATCTTAAGGGTCTTGCTGTGTCATAATACAGCAGAGGCATCACACAGACGAAGGACAGCAAGAAGCCACACTCACCCTTTATGGGGGGCACACCCCATTCCAGAAGAGCACCCCCAGTCCCAAGGGTACACCCCATAACCTCTCGGGCTGCAGCAAGGACAGCAGCAGGGTCAGAACCGGAGGAAACCAAATGGCGAGGTCACAGGAGGAGGAGACCTAGGGCAATGCTGCGCCCACGGGACAAATAAACACTCAGTGAACGGGGCCTGCAAACCCGTGGGAACACAGCTACCAAGACAGAGCCCAGAGAAGCCCAAAGGCCATGAGACAGCACAGGCCAAGAGTGGAAGGAGAGAGAAAGTAAACTGTCCGCAGCTCCAGGGAGCCAGGCACCAGGTATAAGGGGCAGGTGAGCTGTCCTTTTCCAGGATGGCTGCAATTCAGCCTGTAGGGTCTTTTTGAAATTTGCACACCTGTGATCCCAGCACTCAGGAGGCTGAGGCAGGAGGACTGCTGGGACTTTGAGGCCAGCCTGGACTACATACTGACTTCAAGGCCAGCCTAGACTGCATAGCAAGACCCTGTCCCAGAAGACAAAACAAAAAGGCCGACAATGCCCAGAGCTTTGAAAATAACTTACTCTTGGTTTTCCTAGGGAAAAAAAAAATCAAGTCTGTCCAAAGATCAGGCAATTGAACCGCAAGGTAGTCAGTAACCTTTGCCTCTCCATTTCTCCATGAGCTACCTGTGCCTGCCGTGTGGCCCCTCTCTCGTTTCACAACGCACTCTAGGAACACGCCCTGCATTTATCGCGGACCTCCATACGGTTTTAGTTAATGTTTCATGACAATATCTACTCGTGGATTCTGGGTTTCCAACTGCAGCTTTACCCTCACAATTTGGAGTCTATAGGGAAGGAGAGAAATAAGCCTCAGGAGACAGGGCTGGGGAGATGAGCAACTGTCCGGTTCCGGCAGCACTGGCTGTAGGAACAAGTTGTGCTGTGCAGCCAGGCCTGTCTCATCCAGGGGATTCCCTTCAAGAGACTGGGAACCTAAAAGGCTCTTCTGTTTTGTTTTGGTTTTTTGAGACAGGGTCTCGCTATATAGCCCACGCTGGCCCTGTGCTCCCAACTGCTGGGGTTACAGGCATGCGCCACCACAACCTGACTGTAGGCTAAAAAGCTCTTAAACAATACTGCATCAAAAATGGTTCCTAGAAAGTATATATGTTACCTGCACCACATGCCTTGTGCAAGCTAGGTGTGTTTATATAGGAGGTGTTACCTGTCGTACAACCTATGGCTATTAAAATCATCCCTTCAATATAGACACGACAACTATAATAACCTACCCAACAATTTTAGCACACAGGTGATAATTTGAGAGAACGGATGATTTAAAAAAAAGAGTCTATTTCATCCAGACATGGTGGCACATGCTTATCATCCCTGTGCTCAGGAGGCTGAGGCAGGAGGATCACCACAAGTTTGAGACCAGCCTTGCCTACATAGTGAGTCCAAGGCCAGCCAGAACTACATAGCAAGACCCTGTTTCAAAAAAGAGATAAATAATAATAATGCTACTGAAGCAACTGAGAAGACAGGAGTTGGGCTAGGACGATGGCTTTGTGATTACATAGCAGAGTGTCCTTTCTGTAAGAGACACATGGTGGTGCTTAGAGCTGGGGGCAGCACCCAGGTGCCCACAATAGATTTTCACGTGCTCCAGAGACAGGAAGACAGAAACGTTAGCCATCAGTGAAAGCGGTCAAATAGTGGATGAATATTCTCTGTACTATTCTTGCCACTTTTCTGTAGACTTGGAATATTTTTTTAAGATGCTGGGAAAAAAGACAGTTCTCACTATAATTAGTCACAAAAGCCCACTTCCTCCCCGGAGAATAGAGCCTACACATAAAAGCACTGGAAATTCTCTGAAAGCTTGATTAAAAAGCACTGTCAGGGGGCTGGGGATTTAGCTCAGCGGCACAGCACCTGCCTGGCAAGCACAAGGTCCTGAGTTCGATTCCCAGTACAGGAAGAAAAATAAACAAACAAACAAAAAAACCAAGACAAACAAAAAAGGGAGTTGCTTTGCCAGGGATATAGCTCAGCGGCACAGCACCTGCCTGGCAAGTGCAAAGTTGTGAGTTCGATTCCCAGTACAAAAAAAAAAAAAGCACTGTTAGAATCAGAATATGTTTGGGTAAAATCTCACAGCTAAAACCAAAAGGCCTGTCCTAGCCCCGGCCTGTGCATTGCTGCGTCTTCTACACTGGTCACACCATCACCACTTAATCTGAGTCCAAACACTAACAACCCATCCAAGACTGCACAGTACCGGCAGGAAGCTCTCGAGTAGCTCCGGAAGGGGTCCTGTTTGCCCTGCAGTGTAAATAAATCCTTAGAAATTTAGAGCTGCAAAGCCACAGAGAGTAAGACAGCCTGACCATGCAGGCCTTGGCTTATACATGGTCTAAGTGTGGAAATGTAAAAAGTGTTTCAAAGCTGTTCAGAGCTGTCAGAGTCGATGTGGAACTCCTTCCCGTGAGTTACAATCAGCACTAGATCCATGGCTCCTGGAAACATCCTCGTTATGTTGGGGGTGGGGCTGTTTTATTTTTTTCCAGGCCAGGCTGGAAATTGAAGGAATCCTCTTGCCTCAGCCTCCTGAGTGCTGTGATTACAGGTATGCATACCATGCCTAGCTGTCCTACTTATTTCGTGAAACTCTTGCCAAGAGAGGTCAATTTTTGTCTCCAAGTTTGAAACCTGACAATTGCAAACAGTTGGAAGCATTTGCAATTATATAAGCATTTGCCAAGTGTTTCCACAAGTTTTTTTCACAAGTCACAAAATATATTGGGTATGAAAAAGGACAATGTGGTCAGGTAGGGTGGCGCACACCTGTAACCCAAGCCCACAGGAAGGGGAGGCAGGGGGGCTGCTGGGAATTCGAGCCCAGCCCAGGGTCCATATGAACTGCATAACAAGGCCAGCCCAAACTGCGTAACAAGACCCTGTCTCAAAAACAAAATAAAACAACAATAGGATAATGAGAAAAAGTAGACATGGAACAACAAATAACAAAAATGTTGAAAAATGACCATGTCAGTAATTTTGCTTTGCCAAACAAAACCCCCAGTGATTGTGTGTGTCTCTCTCTGCTTTGCATGTCTCAAGCCTCTGAAGCAATCCTTCCATGCATTCATCCCTGTGTTCAAACCCTTATGAGGCAGGTCTTCAAGGGCCAGACTTATTTTGAAAGCTGTGTCATACTGTTCTTCTGGACAGTATTTGTTTTTTCTGGATATGAAGAAAGCTCATTTTTCAAGCCTAAATATGCAACTGAGTTGAAAGCAATCCAGCACATGAAGCTAAGTCCAGAACGCGCAGCGCGAGCAGATATCCTGGCTGCGTACGGGCGGGACAGTGCAGTCTGGGGCAGACACCTCCAGACTCCCAGGACTCTGGACCATGGGAACACCCGTCATTGGATCTTGCCCTTAATTAAGAAGTTCATACAGTCTTAAACCTGGGTTTCAGAAACCATTAATAATTACCCTTAAATGGTAAACAAAAGGAAAATCTCATAATCAGGGTGGCGTGTCTGCGGGACTATAAAAGTCCTCGGCCTTCGCTGCGGCTCAAGCGTCTGCTGACTCCCAGCACCGTGCTGCCGCCGAGCAGGTCAGTGCGGTCCGAGCGGCAGTGGGAGGGAGCGCTCCTGCTCGAAGCAACCTCCTTCTTCTCAGAATGGCGGGAAAGACCCGAGGCAGGGAGAACGTGGGGTTGTACCCTTCGGGCATCAGCTGAGGGCAGGTTTTCTTGGAGACTGCAGCTATGGGGCGGGTACTAACGGCAGGGCTTGTCTTTGGGATTGTCCGCCAGCTGGCATGCACCCAGGATGGACACCGAACACACTATCTAAGCAGGTTCCTTCCTGTGTGGAGAGGAACCCAGGGCATGGGGTTGCTAGGCCGGGGCCCCACTGCGGAGCCTCACCCTGCCCCAAAAGGAGTCTCTCTAAAACACTTTGGACAGTCCAGTGCCTGCCCTCGCAGCCCTGCACTCTCTGCTCCTCCTCTTTCCCTTCTGCACCTTTGCCAGGGGCGAGGCCTGCACCGCTGGTGACACTCCGCGTACACTGTGCGGAGCTTGCCGGGAAGCTCACATTGCTCTCAGTTTGCAGGATACCGCCATGGCCGCTAAAAAGTCTCCCGAGGAGCTCAAGCGCATTTTCGAAAAATACGCAGCCAAAGAAGGCGACCCGGACCAGCTGTCCAAGGAGGAGCTGAAGCTTCTGGTCCAGGCGGAGTTCCCCAGTCTGCTCAAGGTGAGCGTGGCGGCGGTGGGAGGGCAGGGGACAGCAGGGCTCACCCACCTCTGTCTGTGACACGCCCCGCGCTCAGGGCCGGCCCAGGGTTCACGCACACCTCTCCAGGCCGAGCTGCAGCAAGCAGAAGCAGCAGAGGGTCCTGCACACCCCAAACACTGTGATCCCAGCACTCAGAAGGCTTGAGGCAGCAGGATCACTGCAATGTCCAGGCCAGCCTGGGCTACATGAGTTCAAGGCCAGCCCGGACTATATAGTGAGACCCTGTCTCACAAAGAAAGAAAACAGCATTGGGGCTGGGGATTTAGCTCAGCGGCACAGCACCTGCCTGGCAAGCGCGAGGTCGTGAGTTTGATTCCCAGTACCGAAAAAAAAGAAAGAAAACAGCACTACCTGATCTCATTCACTTTCCCTCCCCTTGTCCCACCCTTTCTTTGAAACCAGGGTGCAAGCACCTTAGACGACCTCTTCAAAGAACTGGACAAGAATGGCGACGGGGAAGTCAGTTTCGAAGAATTCCAACTGTTTGTAAAAAAGTTATCCCATTAAAGAAGGATCTGGAAAGCAGAAGGCCAGGACTCCAGCCTGTGCGGAAGCCACACTGCCTCGGGCTGAGTTCTTTACAGCTGTGTGACCCGGCCCAGTTATTATCAATAAAGAACTTTGCAGACTGCTGCCCTTGTTGAGTACTGACTGTCAGAATTCATCCAGTAGATTCCAGGGGAGAGGAAGGGGACGCGGAAAGAATGTAGATGTGTTGCCAGGAATGGTGGCGAGGGCTTGTAATCCCAGCACTCGGGAGGCTGAGGCAGGAGGATTGCCCGGAGTTTGAGGTCAGCCTGCACTACATAGTGAGACACTGTCTCAAAAAATAAGTATAGATAGATAGATGTGTTGTGTACATAGGACTGACTACGCTCAGTGAACGTATTTGGGTTGCTTGTTTGCTTTGCTTTTTTTTGTTTTTTTGAGACAGGATCTCACTACTTAGTGGCTTTGAACTCACTATGTAGCCCTGGCTGGCCGTGAATTCCTGGTTATCCTCCTGCCTCAGTCTAGTGAGGGTCAAGATTAAGAGGTGTTCCCAGTACCGGGGAAAAAAAACAAAAAAAAAAAGATTAAGAGGTGTGCAACCACACCTGGCTCCTCAGGACGAATGCCTCATTATGTACTGAAAATATGTACTCATAAAATTAAAACCTGAAAAATATAAGTTACTAGATTTTAAAATAACATTAGTCATCTATTTTAAGATTTAAAAAGTGGGACTGGGGTTTAGCTCAGTGGTAGGGCACTTGCCTCACATGCATGAATGCATGAGGCTCTGGGTTCCATCCATCCCCAGCACTGTAAAACACAAAAAAAGAAAAAGAAAGAAAGGAAGAAAAAGAAGAAAAAAGCCGGGTGTGGTAGCGCACACCTGTAATGCCAGCACTTGGGAGGCTGAGGCAGGAGGATCACTATGAGTTCGAGACCAGCCTGGGCTACAAAGTGAGCTCAAGGCCAGCCTGAGCTGCATAGAGAGACCTTGTCTCAAAAGACAAAAAAAAAAAAAAAAAAGAAAGAAAGAAAGAAAAGAAAAAGCTTGGTGTGGTGGCACACGCCTGTAATCCCAGCACTCTGGGAAACTGAGGCAGGAGAATCATAAACTGCAGTCCAGAATGGGCAAATTAGGCTATTATGGCTTTCCTCCTCTTCTCAACCCAAGCTCACTCTGCAGAGTCAGTTTCTCCCTTACCCTTCACTTTTATTTTTTCAAATAAACTTTCCTACCATTAAAAAAGAAGAAAAAGAAGAATGCGCAAGTTAGCAAGTTAGCAAGACCCTGTCTCAAAAACAATTTTTTTTTTTAATTTTGTTTAAGACAAGGTCTCGCTATGTAGTTCAGGCTGGCCTTAAACTCACAGAAATCATCCTGCCTCCGCCTCCCAAGTGCTGGGATTACAGGCATGCGCCACCATGCTCGGCTTCCTATCCTAACTATACACACATGCCAGGTCAGTCCATCACGTTGGTGTCATCATTTCCCAGGAGCCTGAAGGCCCTCTGAGGTGGCCAGCAGCACGCACACTCACACTGGCTGTCCGGCAGGAAAGGGGCCTGTCCCCAGACTGCACAGGGCCACAGTCACCTCCCAGACACGGAAGTTCTGCTTGCTGTGAGGATCTGGGGAAGTCAGACTGGGCCAGGCACAAGACGAATAGGTAACAGGGACTTGGAGGCAGAGGGAAGATATGTATTTCAATTGGCTGAAATACGTAGGGACAAGAACTCTCTGTAAGTTCACACAGAAACTAACACCAGTAATGTCAGGACACAGCTGGGCAGCTGGAGGCAGGGAAGGGAGAGCCACTTCTCATGTAACAGCTCAGTGTACATTTGGACTTTTCAGCTATATGGATGTGCAACCTACCACCGAGAACCAATGACCAGCCAGGCGTGGTGGCACACTCCTGTAACCCCGGCACTCGGGAGGCTGAAACAGGAGGACTGCCGTGAGTTGAAGGCCAGGCTGGGCTACATAGTAAGATCAGGGCCAGCCTGAACTGCGTAGCAAGACCCTGTCTCAAAAAACAAGTCTCCTTCCAGTTTGCCAGGAGACTGCGAGCACCAGGCTGCTGGTATTGTAGGCTGTCTACTGAGTCAACAGTGATACAGGGTTTCTTTTATTCAATCAATGTGATGCGTTAATTGGTTTAATTCCCAGGATAACACTATCCAGCCATGATCAGTTATCCTTTAATGCTGTAAATGGGACATTCTAACACTTTAAGATGTTCACAGCTTCCTTCTAAACACCATTAGTCTATGGTTGGAGTCCTGTGTGCTGCTAAGTTTCATATGCAGCTCGTGCTAGTGTCTCATTTCAGCCCCTGTCCTCAGTATGAATCAGCCCCTCCCCAAGTAAACATGCACTATTTCCGCTCCAACGCCCACAAAGCCCCTTCTGTGGGCCAGGCGTTAGGGGGAAGCACAGGGTACCAACTCCCACACCTCTGACATCACCAGCCAGCAAGTCTGGACCAGACCCAGAAAAGGGTTAATGTAATGAGAAGCTGGGTGTGGTGACGCACACTTGTAATCCCAGCGCTTGGGAGGCTGAGGCAGGAGAATCATTGTGAGTTCCAGACCAGCCTGGGCTACATAATGAGCTCAAGGCCAGTGAGCTCTGTCGCAAAACTACATAGTGAGACCTGTCGCAAAAAACCAAATACATACATACATACACATATACATTAGTTTTGAAGTATGCACTTAGTGACTCACTATTAATATTCTGATTCTCCCCCGATTCAGGATTCCTAATGGACCCTCTCCAAGCTGCACAGTCTCCTTTCAAAGGGCAGAATTGGCTAAAGAGACGGAGGTAGGAGACAGGCTGAGATGCCATGAGCCATTGGGCAGGAAGGAAAACGTCTGTGGGTATTTTAAAGCTCTATTACTACACAGGCAGTGGTGGCGCACGTGTGTTCCCAGCACTCGGAGGCTGAGGCAGGAGGATCCCCATGCATTGCAGGGCTAGCCAAGGATACACAGTGAGTTCAAGGCCAGCCTGAACTACATAGTGAGAACCTATCTCAAACAAACCAAGCAACAAACAAACCAACAAGCTCCATGAAGGTAAAACAGGCAAATATTGTCCATATTCAAGATGTACAAGATGAGTTTTGGTATGTATATATACTGTGAAATGATTATTAAAACCAAGCAGACTATATCCTTTATCTCACACAGTTACCTGATGTGTGTGTAACACTTGAGATCTACTGTCTTCAGCAAATTTCAAATATTCAATACAATATTTTTGTTTTTCTGAATTTTTTAGACTCGGTCTCACTATGTAGTTCAGGCTGGCCTTAAACTCACAGTGATCCTCCTGCCTCAGCCTCCTGAGTGCTGGGATTACAGGCGTGCACCACCACACCCAGCCAATACAGTATTATTAAGCAGAATCACCATGTTATACATTAGATCTCCAGAAGTATTTCTCTTGTTTGTTTGTGACAGGGTCTCACTGTGTAGCCCAGGCTGGCCTCCAACTCCCAGCGAACATCCTGCCTCAGCCTTGATGGGAGGCTCAGGGTACTAACTTCCAAATGATCCCTAGCAGATCTTTGTGTCAGTGGGAATACTTATTTCAGTGTTCTAAAGGCTCTCAGTCCTCCAAGTAATAAGAGTTGTTTTTTGGTTACGCTAAGTGAGCTGTTTCTTTCAAACGTCTCTTCATTTGCATGCCATATGATGTTGTTGAAAAATAAGGAAGAGGAAATATTTCAAACAAGATTGCAACTAAAGGCAGGAAAATGTAATGCATTCATTATGTTTAATAGAGAATGTAAATTGCCCTTCACCTGAATCAGCTTTGAACTGTAAGGGGCTAGGGCCGGGGATATAGCTCAGCAGCATAAGTGCCTGCCTAGCAAGCGCAAGGTCCTGAGTTCAATTCCCGATACCAAAAAAAAAAAAAAAGTATGAACTATAAGGGACTATTTCATAAATCTCTATGACATTTAAAATTAATTCTAACTTTGCAAATTCCTGGATCAAAAAGGGGATAAATAAAAGTCATACTTATGATGAGTAATGAAAATTGAGGAGAGCCAGGCCTGGTAGGTTCCCAGCACTCAGAAGGCTGAGGCAGGGGGATCCCCATGAGTTTGAGGACAGCTGGACTACATAGTGAGTTCAAGACCAGCCTGAACTACACAGCCAGACCCTGTCTCAAAAAACTAAAAACCAAGAGTAGCGATGCACCTGTAATCCCAGCACTTGGGAGGCTGAGGCAGGAGGATCACCAGGAAACCAAGGTCAGCCTGGGCTACATGGTGAACTCAAGGCCAGCCTGAACTACACAGCAAGACTCTGTCTCCAAATTTAAAAAGGGGAGCTAGGGATGTAGCATAGTATGAAGACCGTGGGTTCAATCCCCAGTACTGCAAAAAACTTCAATTAAATTGAAATATTATCAAATATCACAATTTCAAATACCCATCAGCATTTTGTTAAAATGCTTTAATTTCTTGTTTTTCCTCACCAATACCACCATCCAAGTGTACATGTATGTTGCTGTATTTAGAAAACAGAACACGGATTCTGTTTTCTGAAAGGAGTATCTTACGCACAGTCCCACTTTCTAGAGTTATCTTTTCCACTAAACAGAAGAAATGCTGAGTGTTAGGCAGGTGCACACTGTTAATACTGCATCGAGAGCACTCATCCTATGCAGGCCTCAAAGGCCAAGCTATTCTAGCTAGAACGTCTGTGGCACCACCAGCTACCCTTCAGATCAGCTGGAAAGACCCAAAGGCAAAGTCAAGTTCAAGGGTGTCTGTAAGCCCGTAATCTCAGCACTCAGAAGGCTGAGACAGGAGGAGGCCAAGAGTTTGAGGCCAGCCTGGGCTACATAACAAGACTCTCTCAACAACAACAAAAATTGCTGTCGGCAGCCATGGTGGACTGATGCAGAGTTAGAAGGGAAGCTCGCTAGATGCCTGGTAAGTGTCATCTCGGAAGACTTTGAGGCAGGACAGAAAACCACAGCTACTTGTAGAACCAACCCGGAATATCCTGCAACACCCTAGACCTTATATTATACTTTAGGGCCAAACAAAGAAAAGACGCAGTGAAATCAATTGCACTCATTCTCGGGCACTCTCAGACTTAGTGAGATCATAATCCACAGGGAAAAAGCTATTTCTTCTTTTATTTTCTTAACTAACTAATTTTTCGTTTTGTTTGTTTGAGACAGAGTCCAGCTATGTAGGCCAGGCTGGCCTTGAACTCACAGTGATCCTCCTGCCTCAGCCTCCTAAGCACTGGGATGATAGGCATACGCTGCCAGGCCCAGCAATTTTGCCTTTTATTGTGCCTAAGAGCTATTTCCTTTTAGATCTGTCCCGGATGCCAGTGTCAACATGGAGCTCATAAGCAAGCATGACGTGCATGGGGAGTCCCAAGGGAGTGTCACAATGGTCCAAGAAACAGATCTGAGCAGCAAACATAACATACAAGGCCGTCCCGCTCTCTGGATTGCTTACTTTCCCCCACAAGGGTCAGAGCACCCATGATCCACCAAGTACTGACTCGCTCCAGTACAGCAAATGCTCGGGCTGCTGGCACTGGCCGAGAGGCCCTGCACCTCACTCTCCTCTAGCAGGACTCTGCCATCAGCACAGGGCTAACGCTGCTGCTGGAACGACCGGAAACATCAGGGATACTCTCCTCGCCTAGCTCGCTTATGGGCACGGGCGCCCTGGGGACACAGAACATGCACATCCCACCCCTGAGCAGTTCCCTCTAGGGCCCCCTGAAGGTGTGCGGGGGGGGGGGGGGGCAGGACACAGGCACCTGCAGGCGGAGAAGCATTTGTAGTACAATTTATAGTGAACAAAATAAGGGGCACAAACTAAGTATGAGACTGCACCACTGCATGCAGAGCACACAGCAGGACAAGCGGCAAAGGTCCCTAGGAGCCGCTGCAGGGTGCTGGGCCCAAAAGCAAGGTGCGGCCAGGCCTCAAGCACCATGTGTACTCATTTGAAGGGAAGCTGGGCACAGTGGCCCATGTGTGGAATCCCAGCACTTGGGAGGCCAAGGCAGAAGGATCACTGTGAATTCAAGGCCAGACTGAACTACACATCAAGACCCTGTCTCAAAAAATAAAATAAAATGGGAATACAGGGGCTAGAGCTATAGCTCAGCAGTATAGCACTTGCCTAACATGCGTTAGGCCCTGGGTTCAATCCCTAGCACCGAAAAGTGGGGATACATATCCATGCATGTGTGTGCAATCTCTGGACTAGAACGAGATGAAAGTAGTTGCCCCAGAGAAGGGAAATTTGCAAAGGTGGATGGGTGAGAGGTAGTTTTATACCTCTTCTACAGGGCTGAACTTTTTTATCTGTATCTTAAATTTTTCCTCCACGCATGCACACACACACACACACACACACACACACACACACTGGGTAAAGAACAGTCGAGACAGAATTCACCTCACCAAAGCTATCAGACAGTGGCACCTACTGGCCAAATCACTTCCCACCTCATAGCATATCTTAGAGAAGAAATCCACGGTCTTCCTGGAACCGCTATTTGAGCTGTTATTCAGGAAATCCATTTCTATTAAAGCCAGATAAGGAAGCCTTCGCTGGTATCAGGCTTTCGGAGCTTAAGACTCTAAAGTACCACGGGGTTGGGAAGCTATAGCTCATTACGGCTTGAGCTGAATGCTATAAAAAATCATGAAGCGTATTTCCACACCCTTCCACGGGGGCATCACCGGCATATAACATTAAGTGAAAAAGCACCGCATGTGCCACCCTTCATCCAGGAAGTGAGGGAGTTACAGAAATACAAACACATTTACCTACTTTTTTGTTTTGCTTTGTTTTGTTTTCTTGGGATTTTTTGAGACAGGGTCTCGCTGTGTACTTCAGGGTGGCCTTGAACTTACTATACAGCCCAGGCTGGCCTCTAATTTGTGGTGATCAGGCTGGGGATATAGCTCAGTGGCACAGCACCTGCCTGGTAAGCACAAGGTCCTGAGTTCAATTCCCAATTCCAGGAAAAAAAAAAAAAAAAGAATACTAGAAAGTTCAATTTGTGGCGATCCTCCTGCCTCAGCCTCCCGAGTGCTGGGATTACAAGCATGTGCCACCATGCCCGGCTTGAATATTTCAGGGGAAAATGAATTGGCTGAAGATAAGGACCAGCAAAATGGTTGTCACTTTTGTTTTAGAAAGATAGATGGCCACCAATGTGGAAAATAGAGAGGCTGAGGACCAGTCTAGAGACAGGACAGCTCATTTATTTATATTAGCTGTTATAAATTGTTGTCACAGCCAATTGAATCCTTTCCTGAACATTAAGCCTGAAAGCTGCGGCAGACAGAAATCTGGCCAGGACTGTGTCTTTCTCCCAGGCACAGATGATGAGACAGACCACTGAGAGCAACGCTGTGGGATATAAAAGTAACAGATAATAACCAATTCATATTGCACCTTAAGTGTTCTGGCACGGTAAGGAAAAATTAACAATCCCCCTTTATGCATTGAAGCAAGAGCCCGAAACCAAACAACAGTGACACTTACCAAAGGAACGGGGGTGCTGGGCTCAAACTCCGTGGAGTGGGCATCTGGAGATTAAAAAGAGTTCACAAAGTTGCAGGTGCTGCTGAAAATACTGTAAGGGACAAAGTTCTATAAGTGAACGGTCACTAGCCAGCCTCAGACTCACCTTTCATGTCCAGGCAGTTTCTCGCAAACTCTACCACAGCCAACTGCATCCCAAGGCAGACGCCTAGTGTAAAGAGCACATATATCAACAAATGGACACAGGTGGTATTTACTCACTTTTTAAAACTCATTTATTTATGGGGGTAACCCACTCGGGCCTCCTCTGTCCCTCTCTTGGACAGAAGCTTTCTTTCCCTCAATAAATATATTCTGCTCTTAACCTCTGTTGTTTCTAAAATTCATTCTTCAATTTTAGAGAACACGAACTCGTCCCAGATACCGTTCAGGTTTTATTTTCCTATATCAGTGCGAATGCTGTTCCTCTGAGAAGAGGGACAAACATGTGAAGACAGAGAAAACAGCATCTAGAAGCTAAGGAAAGAGGGGATGGAGCTATAGCTCAGTGGCAGAAGTGCCTGCCTGGCAAGCACGAGGTGCTGAGTTCGATTCCTGGTACAAAAAAAAGTAAAGAAAACACTATCTAGAAGCCAAGGAGAGAAATCTCAGAAGACACCAATCTTGCCACACCTTGATCTTGGACTTGTAGCCTCTGGGATGTTGAGAAACTAGGAAAGTACATTTTTATTGTTACATCACCTAGTCTGTGATATTTACTATGGCACTGTTATGGTTTGTGTCTGCATGTCCCCCCAAATCCTCATGCAGTCGTGGGGCGGGCTTCTAGAGTTTATGATAGATTCATGGTCCAATGCTGGCAATATGGATGTGAGTGCTACACCCGCCCTGGGGTGCATAGTTTGCATACAGTGTAAGGGAGGGAAAGAGGCTGCTTGCCACTGCTCCTCCATTTTGCTCTTACTGCTCTTGTTGTTTTTCCGCTGCTTGAACTGATGCCCTCTGCCATGTGCCACTCTGCCTTGGAGTCAGCCAAGTATGGACTGAAACCTCCACAAACTGTAAGCTAAATAAACCTTTCCTTCCTTAAAAAAAAAAAAACAAAAAACCAAAAAAACAAAAAACCTCATTTATTTATTCATTGCTTTTTGAGACAGGCTCTTACTGTGTACCCCAGGCTAGCCTCAAACTCACAGGGATCCTCCTGCCTCAACCTCCCAAGTGCTGGGACAACAGACACGTGCCACCACGCCCAGCACAAAAAGCCTTCTACATATAAGATGAGCATTATTTTAGGAACATTAACCACACTCAGATGGAAGCCAAGTTTAAAAAAAAAAAGCCAGGGCCAGGTGTGGTGGTACACACCTATAATCGCAGCACTTGGGAGGCTGAGGCAGGTGGATCCTTTTGAGTTCAAGACCAGCCCGGCCTATAAAGTGAGCTCAAGGCCAGCCTAAAATATGTAGAGAGACCCTGTCTCAAAAAGACCAAAAAAAAAAAACAAAGCCAGGCATGGTGGCGCACACCTGTGATTCTGTAATCCCAGCATTCAGGAGAGTGAGGCAGGAGAATCACTATGAGTTTGAGGCCAGTCTGGGCTACAAGGTGAATTCAAGGTCAGCCTGAACTGCATAGTGAAACCTTGTCTCAAAAAGACCAAAAAAAAAAAAGAAACCAAGTTTACACAGAAAACGATGGTCCCAATGAACTAACACCACAGTAGAAGCAAAACAAGTACCAAGGTGATGTGGCTTTTCTGAAAAGGGGTCGCCAGGGCCGTATCCAGGAATGTAATGGGGGGCAAGGCCTCCCCTCCCGTCCCCATCCTCTCTTCCCGTCCCCAGGGCTGGGTAACACAGCAAGGGCCTTCCTCTTCTGGTCTCTGGCCAGAAACCATGCTGCGCAGTTTAAACAAGGGCACTCAAAAGCCCCAACTCTGCCGAGTGCGACTCCAATCCCAGCTACTCAGGAGGCTGAGGCAGGAGGATCACTTTAGCCCATATTTTGGGCCAGCCTGGACAACACAGACACTTTGTCTCTTAAAATAACAAAAGAAACAGACTCTACCGCATTCTACCAGCGCTGCGCCTAGGGCAGGAACTGGTCTTTCTGTACTATCTTGTCTGGACTCAGTACACAGTTTCAACCTGTCAACTGCAATTGTTCTGCAGAGATTCAGACTTCTGATAAGCAGCTCTCTGCTTACAGCAGTGAGAGGACAGGTTTGGGGGGGAATCGGAGAAAGGAGGCCGAGGCAGAGACTTCTCCCAGGTCCGGACCACCCAGAACTTTTCAGAACAGTGCAAGTTCTCCTGCGGGAACAAACTTTATCTCTAAAGTGTCTGGCAACAAATATTCTAGGCTTTGCAAGCTGTAGGATCTCAAACACTGTTGTTTAACCATATACCAAAGAAATTAGTGTGGCTGTGTTCCAGCAAAACTTTATAAAAACACCCATGAGCCAAATCTGGCCTTAAGACAGTTTGCTAACCCCTGCAGCAGACTATTTGGTGCCTAAAGTGTCAAACTGAAGTTCACAGCTTCACAATCACAAACTTTAGTAAGTATGACCACTACTAGGTGTCAAAAAAGCTAATACACTTAGCCAGGCATGGTCGTGCATGCCAAAAAGGAGGCTGAGGCAGGAGGATCACCACCAGTTTAGAGCAAGCTTGAGCTATATACCATTGTGAGTTCAAGGGCAGCCTGAACTATATAAGGAGACCTTGTTTCCAAAAAAAAGAAAAAAAACCTATAAACTTGCCGAGTGTGGTGGTACAGGTCTGTAATCCCAGCATTCAGGGAGGTTGGGGCAGAAAGATCAAAAGTCTGAGCCCAGCCTGGACAATTTAGCAACTATCTCAAACAACATAAAAAAGGCTGGGGGTGTAGGTCAGTGCAAAGGGCCCGGGCTCAATCCCTAGCACTGCATTAAAAAATTCATAATTAGAATCAAGAAACATGAGTTTTACCCAGAAAGGGAATCTTCCTTGTCCTTGCCCAAGAAATTGCTTGGATTTTTCCCAAGGTTCCTCTGAGTCCAAAGCCTCCAGGCACAAGAACACCACTGAAATCAGCACAAGAAGATGGTAAGTGAGGTCAGGCATTAACTCTTCCGACTAACACTTGTATGTGCAGCTGCTCACGCTGCTGAGCCCCCACCCCAAGCCTGGTACACCTGTGCCTGGCTCCCTGGCATACAAGCACTGCCCCAACCATGGCGCCATCGCCCACCCAGCGCACAGTGCCTGCACTCTCCCTCCCATGAGGAAGCTATGACAACTTCAGAAAACAAAACAAAATTCAAAGATCTCTTACATAATCAGAAACAGTTAAAGTGCTTTAAAAAAAAATCAGCCTTTGATTTGAACTACTAATTAAGTGGTGGTGAATAAAAATTTCCTGGCTAAACCAGGCATGATGGCGCATGCCTGTAATCCCAGCACTCGGGAAGCTGAGGCAGAAGGATCGCTGCAAGTTCAAGACCAGCATGAGCTACAAAGTGAGATCTCAAGGCCAGTTTGAACTACATAGCAAGGCCCTGTCTCAAAAAGACAAACAAAAAACAAAAAGAAAGAAAATTTCCTGGCCACCCAGGGACATAGCTCAGTGGTGCAGCATCTGCCTGGCAAGTGCAAGGTCCTGAGTTCAATTCCCCCTACAAAAAAAAAAAAGAAAAAGAAAAGAAAGAAAACTTCCTGGCTAGAGACCTTCTAGCTCCAGGCTGGCAAAGCTATGGCACATGTGCAGCAGCTGGCTGTTTGCGTCACTGAAAGTTCTGAAAGGTTCACCATCACTGCTCTAGCCCATCAGTCTCAGGTGACCAAGACGACAGGAACACCCAGGAAGGGCATGCTACCCTCATGGAACAATGCTGCCCCCAGCAGCTCTGCCCGTGATGTAGCAAATCAAAGTACAATTAAAGGGGCTGGGGATTTAGCTCAGCAGCACAGCGCTTGCCTGGCAAGCGTGAGGTCGTGAGTTCGAGTCCCGATACCAGAAAAAAAAAAAAAAAGTACAATTAAAGCAAGTGGTGGTGATGGCTGCACAGCCTTATGAACAGACAGAAACCACTGAGCCGCACACCTTACAAGGGTGAGTTTTAGGGTATATAAACACTATTGCAACGTTAAAAATAACAGCTCGTGCAGCTGGGGGCGGTCGTGCACGCCTTTGAATTCCTGCACTCGGGAGGCTGAAGCAGGAGGATCATGGCAAATTGGAGTCGAGCCTGGGCTACACAGTGAGTTCAAGGCCAGCCTGCATTGCATAGCGAGACCCTGTCTCAAAAAATAATAATAGTAAGTAAATAAACAAACAAAAACATCAAGAGGCAGGCTGCCCCTCTTGTACCTGAACTGTGCACACTCTGCACATGCACGTCTGTCTCTCTCAGGAGGACCTACAGCACTCCCACTCCACACAGCATCCCCGCCTGTCTCCCCACCCCCGCCACCACCCTTGGTGGGGTCACGTGGCCAGTGTCACAGCGGACGTGCATGCTCCTCCGCTGCCCAGCCCCGCCCCGCTCCAGCGCCTGGACTCACTCGGCCGTGCACAGCTTCTGCCAGGCTTCGTGGAACCTCACGGGGTCCTGGGCCTTGGTGTCCTGCTCCAGGTCAATGGAGTCTATGTACTGGAGGGGCAGGGCGTGGGAAGGGGCAGTGAGACAGGCACAGGCGCAGATGCTCCCACGCACGCAGACCGGGTTGGACACGCACGGAGTCCCCTGCAGCCCGCACCCACAAGCCTGCCCTAGCCTGCCCTCCACACGGCCTTGTGGGGAAGGTTGGGATCCTGGTTGCAAACCGAGTTGGGCAAGAGCTGAATCTCCTTCAAGGCTGAGGTTCATTCCGATCTGATGAGGAAATTTGATTTGGTTCTCGTCCAGTTCAATTTTCGACCAGAATCGTGGATAAAATTGAGGGGAAGGACCAAAGCCCCAGGAGATCTCAGGGGAGATGAGGTCCAGACTCCTAAGCCTCAGAGGGAGGAGAATTAAAACAATTGAGAAAACTGGGCATGGTGGCACACACCTGTCATCCCAGCACTCGGGAAGCTGAGGCAGGACAATCCCTGAAATTTCAGGACCAACCTGAGCTACACAGTGAGTTCAAGGCTGACCTGGACTACGCAGTGAGACCCTGTCTCAAAACACGAAAGAAAGCAAGCTATCTGAGCAACTGATTTGAAGGTAACAATATGCAATGGAATTATAATGGTGAACTCCTACCATCTTGTCTAGTGAAACTCTGTATTATCTCTAAGGTTTTATTGAAGAATCACTTTCTTCTTCTCTTTCATGCTTTGAGCAATCTTTCATTCTTACATCTGATAATCTGAGCAATGTAGCTGAGGATAGCGATACGCAGTGTAACAACCACTGTTGATTTGTATTTGTCTTGGGACCCTGTATCACTTTGAATGCTCTTGCTTTGATTTGTTTATGTTCGTGATACTGGTATGCTGCTACTGTTCTACTTTTTGTTTGTTTGTTTCTCATGTCCTACTCTCTTTAAAATTAAAAAATTTTTTTAAAATTTTTTTAAAAAAAGAAAGCAAGCTAAAGTGCAAGCACACGCGTGCGTGCACGTTGGCAGGGACAGGGAGGTATGTAGATGAGGGAGTGGGGGAAGGTTTGAAGTGTCCAAGCAAAGAGAGGAAACCTCCACAGAGGCTTGCTGAACAAGAGGAGAGATGGGATGGGTCGGGAAGCAGGGGAGACGAGAAGCCGGGGTGTGGGATTCCCGCCGCCCACCGGCTCTCCTTACAGCTCTCTCCCTGTGCGCCGAGGCTGACTTCAACCCCGCTGGGAGTGTGTGCAAGGCCAAGGTCCGAGACATCTCTGGCGACCCTGGCACGGGGTGTCTCTGCGGCCCTTCCACACGACCTGCCTCTCAGACCAAGCTGCAGGGCCAGGAGGACTCACCATGAGGTTGAGCTTGTGGTTGATGGCCAGGGCCGAGTGCTCCAGAGCCTTGAAAACGGAGGCGTAGCAGTCCCGGAGCTTGGTGTATTTCCCAACCAGGGCAATAGAGCAGGTCTTCTGCAGCCTTTCATACCTGCAGAGCGCAGAGCACGAAGTTTATACATACGTAAGTGACCTCACAAGCAACCATGGCAGCCGCCACTTTTATCCCAGAGCACTTCGTTTTGTTTTGGTTTTTATTTTTGAGACAAGGTCTCACTCTACAGCCCAGGCTGGCCTCAAACTTGTGGCGATCCTCCTGCCTCAGCCTCCCAAGTGCTGGGATTGCAGATGTGCACTACCACGCCTGGCTCCAGGCACTTTTTTAAACCTGAGGAACAGACACTATTCCTACCTGGTGAATTTGACTCAGTCTCCCCTCCAAACAACCAAAATCTGTTCACCAAATACATACCAAAATCCTAAGAAACCCCTTACATAAACAGGGGCAGATGGCAATCAGTTGCTCAGAGAAAAAAGCACTCCGAATAAAAAATGTAAAAAGCCACCTTGGGCCGGGGATATAGCACAGCGGCATAAGTGCTTACTTGACAAGTGCAAGGTCCTGAGTTTGATTCCCGGTACCAAAAAAAAGCTGCCTCATAAACATGAGCTGTTCATTCAGCGAGTTTATAAGATGACACTGCAGAAGAAAGGGCTTCTGGGGCCAAAAGGAAACATTCCAACTGGAACTTCGGAAGGCGACACCGTAGGAGAAGCCGTGTTCAGAGCATCTCCGTTTCCAATGCTTCCGTTCCTAGCTAGCCCCAAAAGTCCAGGTCTTCACGGTGCACCTAAGAATGGTGCTAGGAAAACTGTTTGAGGGCTGGGAATATAGCTCAGTGGCACAGTGCTTGCCTTGTAAGCATGAGGTCATGAGTTCGATTCCCAGTGCCACCAAAAAAAAAAAAAACCAAACAAACAAACTAGTCTAAATAACAAAATTATAAGAGCCAGGCATGGTGGCGCAGGCCTGTAATCCTAGCACTCAGGAGGCTGAGGCAGGAGGATCATTGCAAGTTTGAGACCAGCCTGGGCTACAAAGTGAGCTCAAGGTCAGTGTGAACTGCATAGCAAGACCGTGTCTCAAAAAAAAAAAGAACTGATTGAAATATTACAAACCATTGCCATCATTTCTATGAGAAAGTTCCATTCTTCCCAAGACACTTAGGCACAGTTCTTCACGAGACCTAATCTATAACGTTGCTTTCGTCCGGAACTCCCTTCCCAGGACAGGACAGAGCTACGCTCTGGGATTAGTTATGGAAATAGAAACGTGGTGCCAGCCCTTCCCCAAACACCTCAGGAAAATGTTACCTCCAGGAGGAAACTCGGCTCCTATCACAGTCACAGGAGGACAAGTACACAGTGGGGCACGCCTGTCATCCCAGCACTTGGGAGGCTGAGGCAGGAGGATCAACCTGAATTCAAGGCCAGCCTGGGCCCTACAGGGAGTTCAAGGCCAGCCTGCACTACACAGCAAGACCTTGTCTCGGGCAAAAACCCTTTAACTCCCTACTGAAGTCGCTGCTGCCCCAGAGAACACAGCTGCTCAGCCTCACTCCACTTCTTGGTAGAGGGTGCAAAAACTGGCGGAAGCACAGGCAGAGAGAGAGGCGGGGCTTCCTGTCCCTGGGCAGCTGGTTGGGCTTCTCCCCTGGCCTTGTTTCCGCTGCTAACTGTCCCACCCTCCTCGCGCTCACAGGTAGGGAAGGAGACGCACCTGGTGGCTGCACTTCCCAAGCAGCCTTCCGTGCACCGCATACCCTCTTTCCTCCACCCAGGTGTGCAGGGCCGGCCTGTAGTGCTACAAGAAGCCACTGCTGCAGGGGGGAGGGGGGGGATTCGCATGTCCCAAGGCGGGACAGGGGTGCCACTCTGACCTCAAGTCCCAGGCCAGCTCTCCTACCCTTTATTTGTATGTTTTGTTGTTTTTTTGAGACAGAGTTTCACTATGTAGTTCTTCAGGCTGGCATTGAACTTGCAGTGATCCTCCTGCCTCAGCCTCCTGAGTGCTGGGATTACAGGCGTGCACCACCACCATACCTGGCCCTTACAAGAGACGAGGAAGGGAGATGAGAAGAAGGCAGTGTGCAGGTGGAGGCAGACATCAGAGAGGCACATCCATAAGCCAAGCACCACAAGCCAGTGGGTCCCTCAGCGCAGAGACATCCAGACTTGGGCCTTGTGACCCCCAGGATTGGGAAAGCACAAAGTGCTACTGTAATTTGGTACAGCAGCTGCAGCAAACTTAGTACCAAGACCAGATGTATTTGGCTTTAGAAAGTATAGAAGCACTGGGCATGGTGGCACAGGCCTGTAGTCCCAGCGCTCGGGAGGGACTGCTGAAGCAGAGGGACTGCTGGGAGTTTGAGGTCAGAACTACACAGCCAGGCTCTGTTTCAAACAAAAGGATTCGCTTTAGAAAATATTAGGTGAGAATAGAGTAATTATGTGCTACAAACATGTACTAATAAAAGTCAAAGAAAGAAAAGAGAAACAAAGTATTAGCTGAATCCTAAAAACAAACAAAACAGAAAACCTGGAATATTTTAAATGACAAAATACTCAGAAACTAAGAAATAAATCAAAATCCCCCCTGAGTAAAAAAAACATTCCAGCCAAAGCCCAAATTCTTTCAATCCACTTTGGTTTAAGTCCAGAAAAGTTGGAGGTTAGAGAAATCTGCAAAGACAGAAAAACCCTCTACCACGTGCCGAGCTGGGCCACATGCACATGCGTGGGGCCCCGGGATATCCACCTGTCAGCCATGTTCCCCCACTTCAGCAGCAGGCTGCTGGAGGAGTCGCCGACGGGCAGGTCCAGCCGCTCCTTGAAGTGCTTCACGATGCCCTGCTGCTCCAGGAGCACGGGTACGCGGTAGGTAGAGGACACGTCATGGATACACATGACCTGCCGGCCAGGAGAAAGCAGGCTGCTAAGGCGGGCGACTCGGACGGGCCTCAGCAAGGTGGCCCAACTCAGGAGTGACTGGCAGTTTAATTCTCTTCATGCACAGGGCACCAGGAAGCCGGGCGGAGTGGCACACACCCGCGATCCCACCGCTCGGGAGGCGGAGGCAGGAGGACTGCAAGGTAGAGCCCGACCTAGGCAACTTAATGGCTTAGCAAGACCTGGTTTCAGAATTAAATACAACAATTTTTAAAAGTGAAGAGCCACAGGCACCAACCTGTTCAGGGTTCACGTGACAAAACATGGAAATCTTCTCCTTCACAGCCATCTCAATGGGTGTGGAGCTCCGGCAGACAATCTGTTGGGGTGAGGTTTGCTCTGTCAGCAACCGGGAGCTGACTGCCCCTGCCGCTGGCCTCTGTGTCCAGTTCTCCCACCTTGAGAGCCCCAGGTGAGGGTGCACTGGGTCACCCCGGGCCCTCAGGACTGGAAGCACGGCCGAGCACAGGAGACCAAGACAACCAAGTACAACCACAGTGTCAAGCCATCTGGGAGGCGCGGTGGAGCCAAGGTTCAGAATGTGGCTTTCAGTCAATGCAAACAGAGTGGGCCATGGTGGCGCACATCTGTCATCCTAACACTCGGGAGGCTGAGGCAGGAGGATCGCTGTGAGTTTGAGGCCAGCCTGGGCTACACAGTAAGTTCAAGGCCAGCCTGAACTCTATAGAGAGACCCTTCCCCACCCCCCAAAAAAGGAACAGTAAATTAAAATAAATAGCCAGGCGTGGTGATGCACACCTGTCACCCCAGCACTTTGGAGGCTGAGTCAGGAGGATCACTGCAAGTTCAAGGCCAGCCTGGGCTACATAGCGAGTTCAAGTCTGGATTAAACTACATGGCAAGACTCTGTCTCAAAAAACAAAACAAACAAATTAAAATAAATAAAACAGGGAGGTCATCCTCCAAGAGGTCCACTGCACTCCACTCACCAGATCTGGAGACAGCCCCAGGCCCCTCAGCGCACGGACACTGTTCTGTGTGGGCTTGGTTTTCTGTTCCCCGGTGGCGCTGGGCTAAAAAGGAACAGGTCCTGTTAGTACCCAGCAGGTCCAGCTCTTCCGGGTAAGTAGTGGCTCCTGTGTCCAACAAGGGCCACAAAGCATCACGGGAAAGGAAGGTCAGGTGGCCGGGCACACACATGTGCTAAGCCCACCTGCGGGACCAGGCTGACATGGATGTTATAGAAATTCTCTCTCTTTGCCTTGAACTGGAACTGTCTGAACGCTTCCACGAACGGCATCCCTTCGATGTCTCCGATGGTGCCGCCCAGCTGGGAAGAGAAGACAGAAACAACTGGAAAGGAGCAAAAGTCTTGCGCAGTGCATGCACAAGTAGAAAACGCATACCATGCACTTCCATGCTTGCCCAAGAACAGAGGCTCGCCGATGCTCCAAGTCACTGCATTAGATGTTTATAATGGGTCCGCCCTGCTTGGTGGCACAGGCCTAGAATCCAGCACACTGGGAGGCCGAGGCAGAAGGGTCGCAAGTTCAAGCCCAGCCTGGGTCACTTATCATAGAGGAACACAATAAGCTAGTTTTGATGATGACCCCCGTTTGGAAAGAAGAACTCTAATCCAGGGACAATACCAGAAAAGTGACAGCTACTGGGCTCGGCCTAGAGCCTCTCTCTCCCCCTCTGTCTGGCTGTCTCTCTCCCCCCTCTCGCCTTGCCTGCTGTATCTGAGCAGACTCCTTGCTGTGTCAATTCCTGTTATTAAAACATGCTGGCTTTCCGAAGCAAACAGTAGCAAAACCCCCATGAACATCCCTGGCAGCATAAGCCTTAATAAATGTCAACTTTACTTATAACATATTTCCAATAATGTTACTTAAAGCTTTTTACTTTAGACTAAGAGAAAATTCACCTTAACCCATTCGTCTTCGTCATATTAAATAAAGTCGATCACATGGATTTTAAAATTAATTCTCTAGTTAGGCGTGGTGGCGCCTGCTGCTAATTGCATCAGCATGGGAGGCTGAGGCAGGAGGATCACAAATCCCAGCCCAGCTCAGGTATCTTAGTGACTTAGCAAGACCCTGTCTCAAAAAATAAAGAGAGCTGGGGATATTGCATTGTGTCAGGTGGCCGGGCACACACACATGTGCAAAGCCCACCTGCGGGACCAGGCTGACATGGATGTTATAGAAATTCTCTCTCTCTGCCTTGAACTGGAACTGTCTTCGCACATGTGTGTGCACTGGCCAATGCAAAGGCCCTGGTCAATCCCCAGTGCTATGAAAAAAAGTAAAATGGGCTAGGGATGTAGTTCAGTGTGAAAGCCCAGGGTTTGATCCCCAGTACCACAAAAACTAAAACAAAATTAATTCTTCAGCACTTGAGGTTCTAGTACAGTACATGCTCAACACTACGGTAAGTGAAGGGCTGGGAAGTGCTCAGAGTATGACCAGGAAAACAAGACAAAGTTAAAAAAATAAGCAAGAGTAGAACCTGAGTGGTACAGTATAATCCCAGCACGTGGGAGGCTGAGACAGGAGGATCGCTGTGAGTTCAAGGCCAGCCTGGGCTACACAGTGAGTTCAAGGCCAGTCTGAACTGCATAGGGAGACCTTGTCTCAAAAAGATGAAAATAAATAAAGAGTAGAAGTTCCAACACCTTAGTGATAGCGTGCCTGCTGTGTAGCAAGTACACGGCCCTTAGCATATACAAGGTTTTCAGGGCCTCAGCAGAGCCCAGTCCTCCTTCCTGCCCCCTTACCGCTCCTCTTCATCCCCAGCCCGCGCTATAGCCTCCCGCTGGAGATGGGGCCCTGGGAAAGGCTGGCCGGAGGACCCCGCGGCAGCCCTCACACCGCTCCCAAGCACAATGCCCCACATACCCTTCGTAGCACTGCAGCCGGCAGCCACCGAGATGCCGACTACCACCACCCCCCCCGCTGGGCTGCAGCCCCATGAGGCCTGTGCATGGCACCCTGTGCCCGCCTCCTGGGGCTTAGGTCAGTGACCTAAGAGAAAGAGGTCTCAGAAGGTGATCCAAATCCCAATCAGGTACACTGACGACAGCCTTGCTGTGGGAGAGATCAATCTTCACTAACTTTAATTCACCTAACAAAACAATCAAGAGGGCTGGACTGCTCGCACACACCTATGATCCCAGTACTCGGGACGCTGAGGCAGGAGGATCACTGTGAGTTCGAGGCCAGCCTGGGCTACATAGTGAGTTGAAGGCCAGGCTGGACTACATAGAAAGAACCTGTCTCTGGGCCTGGGGATTTAGCTCAGCGGCAAAGTGCCTGCCTGGCAAGCGCAAGGTTGTGAGTTCGGTTCCCGGTACTGGAGAAAAACAAAAAAAAGGAAACAAAAAAAAAAAGAAAGAAATTAGAATTCAAGCTTCCTCTTCCCTGGAACAGGTAAGAATACATGATATGTCTTTATTATAAGAGAATAACAAACTTAATTATGAAACTCCAAGAAGCAAAAACATATACATTACAGGCAGTCAGGAACTTGGTGAGGACAGGATGTGAGAGTGTCAGTAACCACAAGACACAAGAATCTAATGGAGGTCCTTCGGTTCATGAGCACGATGATTGGGTGTTCATGCCATGTGCATGAGATGTGTCTCCCTCAAACCTTATTATGACGTCGGCACATTACCCGTCTGACATGGAAAAAAAAAAAAAAAAAAGAATCTAATGGAGACCCAGCCGTGGTGATGCAGAGCCTGTAATCCCAGCATTCAGGAGGCTGAGACAGGAAGATCATTGCGAGTTCAAGACCAGCCTGGGCTACAAAGTGAGCTCAAGACCAGTCTGAACTGTATACCGAGACCCTGTCTGAAAAGACAAAAAAAAAAGAATGTAATGGAAACAAAATTTTGTTTTGAGAAGAAAAGAAATGCTCTTTTTGGGTTTTTGTTAGGAGTCAGGAGTGAATGGAAAAAGGAAGCTAAGCTGGGCATGGTGGCACACACCTGTAATCCCAGCACTCTGGAGGCTGAGGCAGGAGGATCCTTGCGAGTTCCAGACCAGTCTGGGCTACAAAGTGAGCTCAAGGCCAGCCTGAGCTGCATAATGAGTTCCTGTCTCAAAAAAAAAAAAAAAAAAAGAAAAGAAAAAAGAAAAAAAGGAAAAAAGGAAGCCAAAATTGTAAACCTTATTCACGTCTTCCCTCATGTGGCCGATAGCGGTACTGCAGCCCCTTCAGACATTCCCTCTGCAAGGCCTGGGGTCCCTGGTAGAAGCGAGAGCAGAGGGGCTGGGGATTTAGCTCAGCGGCAAAGCGCCTGCCTGGCAAGCACAAGGTCGTGAGTTCGGTTCCCGGTACCGGAGAAAAACCAAAAA